GCGCAAATACTTCTAACAGGTTTTGTCGGCTTAGCAACCGTCTGCGGCTTTTGGCATCCAAATTTGGACGAGCCCAAAGTTGGATTCTTTGCATTTTGTTTATGTTGCTATATGAAGACGCACTGAACTCGCGCTCGGCTGGGAGTAAGATTCAGTCGGGAGTAAGGATTACATGTGTTCCATCCCGGTCTGCTTGAATTGACAATCCTTGATGAATGCGCTCATGATGTAACGGTTGCAAGTATTGTATGAGCTGTGCAAATAGTGCCACGATTTGCACAATGGAAGTTTCTGAGCCTCAGCTGGAAGAGACCCGCCTCTGCATACCCTACTTATTGCTCGACTGTGCGGCCTTTGCCGGCAGAAACGGTATTGAATCGAGATTCAACGTTCTTTGTCGGTTTTGCACCGATTGCTTTGGTCTTTGCAGCTCTTTTCACATTGACACCTTGCTTCGTAAAAGCTGGCTGTCGATATTAGTTTCCATCTAGTGCTGGATCCTTTTGGCTGCTTCAGCAGAGCGACATCAATCTCGTTCCTAACGGAGGCTTACCCTCCTTATATGTGCGGGACTGTGTGAACCACAGCTGGTCGAACCCTACGTCTTACAGTCAGTAGGATCGATACATGCGAGCCTCGCTTCAAAGTTTTCATCAGAAAGGATGCTTCGTGAGGGGCTGAAGGGAAGCGCGAGGGTGGCTTCTTGTTCAGTAGTGAAACTTCCTGAATTTCATCAGAGCCTGATTTCAATTGAAAGCTCACCGGAACAGACTTCCAAACCGTCCCTTCTGGTGCACAAGATACTGCATAAATGTTTCTCACTTGACATTCCAAAGATCTCCTCGGTGCAACTGAAAAGCAAGCGCCACTCGTTTTCGCCTTTCAACCTGCTTGGCAGAGTACCGGGCATCCTGGACTGGGCGCGCGCGCGCCAAAGTCGCGGCCGAGGTCGCCAGCGCCGTTGAGTACCTGCACATGAAGGGTTGACGACCGCCATCGTACATCAGGATTGACTACCATGCCCCTAATCAATACGGTGCAATGGGAGTGCAATTCATCCGGTTGTCTTGACGTGCGAGGATCGATTTGCTCGCTTCTGCACTCTTTCGCGGAGAGTTTTCTTTGAGTTGCAATCGTGCGTACAGTGGTTTCGGCAGAGCCGTCCTTCGTCAAGTTGGCGCTTGGTTTGCGCCACTTGTTGCTGGACTGCACCTGATTCCCCGAGCTTGCTTATTTTGGAGCACCGAAGTAGCTGTTCCTAGGCAATCTCGTAAGCGTGTGAGAAAGATCCAGACGTTACGCAAAGAGGACAGTCGTTTCAACCAGACAGACCACGGCCGGCCTTCGATCTCGGAAGTGGTGATTGAGGCAATGCGAAGAGCGGCCGGGTCAGTGAGAAAGCCTCCTGATATTGATTGTCAGCATGGGGCACTCGTACAAGTCGGCAGTTCCTCGAACCTGTTGATGTCGTGAGTGCGCGCATGCGATAGATATTAGCGAACATGCATGATACCGGGCCGTTGGCCAACCGGACTCGGGAGTCGGCGTACCTTGGCGACTTCAAACTAGCCACGCTGTACGATGCGGAGCGGACGCACTTTTACAAATTTCATAAGTGAACGCCCGGCTGCCTGGGTGCGTGCATCTCGCTTCTGCTTTTGTTCGTAAGGTCATTAGGCATGGTCGACATATGAAGCCAGCGCTGCAATCTGATTTAATGTTTGCAATTAGGCTTGGCTTCTTAGAAAAGATGAAGCTATGGTAAATCAGCAGGCGATAGCGAGCCGCTAATGACAAGAACGTCGAATGGACTTCGACACAGACACGATGATCATTTTCGTGCATTAGTATGTCCGGCATGTCTACACGCACAAACACCAGGTGGAGTTTCGAGTTCAACAAGGCGTTGCCACTGTAGCGCAAAATAGCTACCTACCAGAAACAACCTACGTTGTCGAGTTGCAAGAGATACTTTCTATATCTTTAGAATCGTACAACATTCTTGAACAGAGCGTTCGAATGTGTATCAAAGAGCTCTTGCAACAGTCTAGAGGACGGCGACGGTCATGAAGCATCGTTCGCAGGAATTGCTTCGCGTCTTCACAACTTGCCACCCCTCTTCGGGCGTATACCGCTCCACCTGTGGCAGAAAGGGCGGACAAGCTGGTTCAATGCAAGCGGTGCATCGCCACAAATGCCTATCTTCCTTGAAGAGAGAAACAGCAAAGAGCGGCGACATTTGACGAGCAAACAGGACAGAGCCGCTATGGCACCAAGGCCAGAACCTCCGATTTGTTGTCCACATCAGCAAGTCCAGTGAACCGACCAGAAGACCCTTGGTGAGGCTAAGTAGCCGGAAAAGCAAGTGCACTGTTAAGAGCGCCGAGCGTTCACCGAATCCGCAAACTCTGCTCCGTCGAGGCCGCCGATGACGTAAAGCGCGTTGTCCACGATCACTAACGCGCCATACGAACGCTGCGTCTGCATAGGGGGGACCTGAAGAGCAACAAGGAGTTACGACTGGTCAGCAGCGGATAGAAGCTCCTAGATTTAGCAATGTTTGGCTGGGGCGTTTCGACGAAAGGACCAGCATAGGATTCAAAGACTTCCAACAGTTGAATATACTCTTCCGAGAGACCCGCTGCGCGTTGAGTGACGGTGATTGGAATGCCTTTACAAGGAAACCCTAGGTCGCCAGTGGGAGCTCATGGCGATCCATTCTCCCTCCGGCACGAAGACCTGTTACAAACCAGTTTGCCCTCCTCGCATCCTAGACTACCCACACGACTCACGAGTGCAGGACTTGTTTCCCGGACATCTGCTTCAGCATCGGTCAACTGCCTTTTAGCAACAGCAGGTTTCATCTTAGAATCAGCCACGGAGAGTGAACCCAGAAATCGCTTCCGCTGAACCTTGAACAACCCAGTTCGAAATATGAACAACCCGCTCGGCACTCCTTGAACGTAGTAACAAAGCGAACGTGTCCTCTTTGAAAAGCAGGCTAAAAAGACGCGGAGATAGAGCTGAAATCGGATCCCGGGGATAGATTGATGTTGAACGGACAGGACACACCGGGTATTCAAGCAGGGCTGTCAAAAGCTCAGCTGCCTATCGCCGTTGAAACGAAAGTACCAACCTTATCTGAGTCGTCTCCCTCGACGTCGTGAAGGCAATTTACCCTTAGCCACTCACCAGCTTCCACTTGTTCATGCGCGGCTCGTACGACTCCACAGTATTCAGATACACGTTCCCGTCGAAGTCTCCCAAGGCGAATCTGAAGAAGAGAGCAACCGGAATAGCCGAACGAACCGCCCAGACGCCCACACTAAGTGATCGTAGCCTGCTAGCTGGCACTCGCATGACAAGAGGCAACAATGAAGCTTCAACCAAGCGAGCAGGGCTTTTATCTTTCCAATCCTGCTTTAGAAAGGGCAAGGAGAGGGCAGCCAGGAGCACCTGGAAAGTTGTCAGGCGTCAAGTCAGCATAACTTCGCAACTGCAGCGGAAAGCGGAAGCGCATAGCTTACAAGGTGTTGTTGTACACTGCCGCGGACAGGCTCCCGCGCTTGGTCGACATGGACGGAGCGCGCACCCAGTAGCCCTCGCGAGGATCAAACCGCTCCATGGTCCTGGCGATAGGATACAAGTCGTTGACAAAAGTGCTTACACAAGGAAGCAGAGTAGTCACTCGACACTCCAGGAATGTAGCTCGAGATTGGAGGGCTGTGAATGGACATTAAGAGCGATGCAACCAAGCATGTAAAGCAATCAAGAAGCCAGCGTAATTCAGCGGGTCAATCTGAAAATGTTCAGGTCTGGAAAGCTTTTCCCTTCACAGCTTGACTAGGAGTGTCTCACACAAACAACGGCCCACGATAAGTACAGTGAGACTGACTGAACACAATGGCTGCGGCGCAGGATCCCGCACGGGGGGGACAGCCAAACTTCCCGGCCGCCACAAACCCGACAGAAACGAGTTTCTAACATCTCCCAATCGGGCTTCCAGGGTACAAGCTGCGTGCAGGCGCCTTACGAAAGATACTGCTGCCCATTAAAGCCTCCGACCGCGTAAAGCGAGTTGTGCATCTCCGCAGCCGCCAGGTTGAAGCGCTGCAAGCAAAGCGTCCGACAATATTATTCAACTTTGCAATGCGACGTACGCGTACGCAAGATGGATAGCAAGTACAAGGCACACTGTCCGGTTCATGTTGACTCACATCTGGCGGAGACGGTACCTCCTGTGCTTCTAGATTTCCGTCTGAATTTCAGTACAGTAGGACTCGAAGGACCCGGGCAAGTTGAATGGAGTTTCATGGAATCCATACTAGCTATCATCCCTGGCTTAGCTTCTACACATGTTCCAACCGTTGATTGAAGGGGTGTTGAGCATGCCAAATCTAAAGGCGCGGAGTACGAAGACGGACGTTCTCAGATTACAGACTTCAGAAGCGCAAAGGCGACCGCTGGGCGCGCACCCCGTCAAGCATGGACGGCGCGGAGAGCCACTTGTCGACGGCGGGGTCGTACATCTCCACGTCAGCAAAGACGGAGAGTCCGTCGGACCCCCCCACGGCGTAGATCTTGCCCTGCACGGCGGCGCCCCCAAGGTTGCTTCGCTTGAATTTCATCTTCGAAAGAGTCGCCCACGAGTTGCTGGTGCGGTCGTACCGCTCGACTGCACCGTAGGGGCGTTGGAAGATGCAGGTTTAATTGACCGCTATTGGTGGGTGTAAATAGAAAAGGGTATTCTGACAGACGGTGACCAAAGAGGCCTGAGACCGCTGTGAAGTTTATAACGACTTTTCAAGTCACAACGAAAAGCTGGTTCACAAAAGAAACTTTCAATAAGTAAGTGCTTCTCGGAACCGTTTTATTTGAAATGGGATCTGCTTGACGTGGACTCTGAAAGCGGGGTCCTTGAAGCGGCGCAGCAAGTTCGAGAGTAGTATCTGAAAGCGTTTCTAGCTGTCTTTTAAGAACGCACGTCGGTTCTAGAGCACCGCAACCGCCTAGTCGCCAGATAACGTTACCCCCTTTTTCCCTGCTAACTTTGCAACAACGGTGACAGCCAAGTTACAAGCTTCGACCCTCACCCGTGCGATCCCCGCCCCCGAACACATACACCATCCTGTCAAGCACCGCCGAAGCCGCGAACAAGCGCTTCGCCGACATCGGCGCGAGCACCTGCCACTCGTCCCGGGACGGCCGGCATCGCTCCACCGAGCTGAGGCACTCCAAGCCGTTGAAGCCGCCCATGAGATACACCTCCTGCGGGCGCGGGCACACGAAGCCATCCAAAAACAAGCTTTGGATCTCTCCATCAAGATACACTGTAATACAGATGGTGACAAGCATAAATACGAACAAGTAAGCAACTATGATAGGTCAGCTGGACGGCGGTCGAAGAGAGTGAGTTATAGTTGGGAGCTAGGGAGCCGTCCAAAAGGTATCGAGCATCTTGACCATGCTGATTAAGGAAGTGCCCAGGGGACCGGTAGGGTTAGTTGGGGATTTAAGGTGGTTACAAGTATGGAGGTGTCGATTCTTGGTTTCGATTTTCGGATTTGTGGGTACCTCCACGCAGTATCTCAGTCAACATGGTTCGACATCCTGCATCCCCCTTCCATCCTGCAACTTCTCAAGCGCCAAGATGCGAACTTTGACGGATATGTCCAATTGTCTGTACTAAATGAGCCTCTTAGAACAAGCGAAAAAAAAACGCAAAACCGATGTTCTACTGCAAAGCTTGTACACCTGAAGGCGCCCTGCCGACTCTTGATGTGGATTGGCTTCTGCTTACCAATCAGAGCTCCACCGTGAATAAAACCGAAGCTTATTGCCATGGACCCTACATTTCTGATTGTGTCCTTGTACTCACCTCGAATGGCGTGTGACTCTATGGACCATGTAAAGGCGGCGTGCCAAGGCTGCCAACATTGGGCTGCACCTGCGGATCGTGCTCACCAACAATGGGCTGCACGTGCGGATCGTGCTCACCAACAGGGGAAACGAGTCTGGGGGCTTCGACTCTGGTCCCATCTTTCGCCCACTGCTGGAAAAACTCAAGTCAGAGACAGGACTCGTGAGTACATCCCTGTGGCAAGAAGACTTGAAAATGTGGCCTTTGTGAAAAGCAGGTCAAGTGACTGAAGTGAAGTCTGCGTGTTTGCATATTGTAGCATGTCAAAATAATTCCATGTTGGCGGTACACCTCGATCCAAAAGAATCAAGACTCAAGTAGTAGCTAGAGGTCAACAACTGAGGTCTCACGCTTGCAGCTACAAGGTCAGGTCTCAAAATTGCTCAAAAGTCAGCTCTTTCTATTCGACTCGATTATTGAAGCCCTGACAGGTCTTCTACATGAGGCCCTTGATTACACACCCTTCTAATGGTTCGCTCACGTCTTTTGACAACTCACCCAGGAAACTGACGACGAAGTATCTGTTCCAGATCTTGCGTGAACCCGCCAACTGACTGTTCTTGGGGGCACTTCAACATGGAGACCGGCAGATGCGGAATGCTCTGCGGCCAAATGTTGACATGCAACATTATTTTGAAAACAAACAAACCTCTATTGAACCTCTATTTGTCAGGTTCCTAAAATGGCCAATGAGTGGTTGTATGTGAGGTTGACTTACGAAACCAAATGACTTGACATGACAGGCTCAGTGCACAATGATGAGCTGTAGCGTAGCCAAATTTCGGGATCTCTAAGTTTTACCTCGGGAGAGCTTATGCCTAAAATGCACAGCACTCTGCTGGGGCAAGCAGGGTAACAAATCAGATAGTGGCTATCAGAGGCTCTCTTCAAGCTGACCTCCTTGAAAATAAGTGGAAGATAGATATCATATCCCTTCTTCTACCATGAGACTGCGCCCATTGTGAATGCCCTTCTTACTGCAAGTATTAACACTACAAAGTACAATAGCCGCTTCTTGCAAGCAAGAATGCTCCTCATGCCAACAAGCAGATTCCTCAATGTTTTTCAACACATGCTGAGTGTATCCGAGCTCCGCAACTTACCAAGCTCCACAAGCTTTCCAAGACTCCAAATGCTGGACACTGAGGGCGATGGACCAGCAGATACGTCCTCAAATTCCAACTCATAGACAGCGTCAACAAAAGTCTCGCGAATCTCCTTGTGCGCCATGCCCAATTCTTTGAAGGACTGCGGATCATGCAGTGGAATGTCCTTTGGCCATCTCAAGAAGCTTCTTAGGTCACACTGGTCTGAACAGCACTGATTGTCACAGCTTTTCTTGCTGCCTTTCCGATGCTCTCTGATTTCCAAACAGATTGCTTCCTCACTCCGCAAATCATTAGGCCTGCGATGGGCAGCACGTCTCAGAAGTCGCCAAAAGGCCAGCGTCTCCATCCGGTACAACTTCTCTGAGGGACTTTTCAGCTGGCTCAGCCTCCATTTAACTTTCGATCCTTCTTGTATCCAAATTTCATCCCAATGATCAAAGACCCTCGGATAGTTGGTGTAAGGATAGGATACGCCCATGTTTTAGACGGCCGAGGAGCGCGTGCAGAACTCTCCGACCTAAGTTTGAGCAGGCTTCACGCTTTCTATTAGGCGGAGCTGCTGTATTACTATCTGACAGTGCTTTCACATTGCGTTGGACCGCCTTCTTGCTTCTACAAAGATGCCGGGGGCCTCGATCAGGAGTCTGGGGGATCCACCACGACCTCGAGCCTGAGGTACCTAGGTCCTAGGTATCAGACTGAGAGCTAGACGCTCTTCCACGTGGCTCTGTATAAAATTCTTTGAATCATACAGGAGCCCTCGACGTCCGTGCGATGGGCGGGGATTGCTTCTGCGCGGTCCGATCGCAAATGCTAAATGCCTTCATTCCATCTGACGGACAACGTGCACGTTCAGGACATCGCACGGACATCTATCGCGCACTTTTACACCATTCTTGACCGTCCGCTGCTTTCAAGCGCCATTTGGCAAGACGAAAGCCGTTCGATCAACCGATTGCGTCAGCCCGAGCGTGCTACTAAGGCGCCCGGTAGACGGGTAGGGTTAGTTTGGCGACTCGTGTGGGTTTGGGTATGGAGTGCTGCATAATACCTACCTATCTTCCTATCTGAAGGTAGGGGCGGGTTAGGGGCTTTGATCATCGTTAACTCCCGAGTTTTGCTTCACCCGCCCGTGAACACGAAAGTTGCCAGTACTACTTACTATCATCGTCAGTCGCGTTGATATGTAGCCAATTGCATGATAGCCTGACTGAAGTGGGATCAGGACGCGACGTCTGAGCTTAATACGATGCTCCAGTTCTTCGAGGCAACCACAATTCTCGGGCAATTCTCAGCCTCTAAACTAATACTAGAGCTTTCAGGCCCCTTTCAGGATTCAGCTCCTCCAATGATACGTCGACATCTTTGGCTGGCTAGCTGTCGGATCAGCATCATCTGGTGGACTGATTCAGTGGAGCAGGCCCGGCCAAGCTGGACAGACGCCCAGCAGCGCGCCACAAACCGCTCATACTTGTTTGATCGGTCTTGACTTCGCTTTCGATTCTCGTAGTTCAAGGGTTAACAGTGTGGCATACAACGAGCATACAACATGGCAAGCGCCCAAGCGGCTCGTACGGAGTTGCTTCCAACATTGAACAGTCTGCTGGCGCCTGCGCTTCAGATGGAGGTTGACCAACTCAGAAACTACCTCCCTGCTGTCATCGACGAGATTGCCAAAGCCAGCCACAATGGGTGAGTTCCAATCTGGAGATATCATATATACCACCTGCCACCCCCCTGGCGCCACCAGAAATTATCTTAGTGACTTTATTCCGGTACCAGCTTTTAAAACCCAGTCAACCAACGGCCATATGCATTTGGTGCATAAACGTAGCTTAGCTGAGTAAATTTTCTTTTCGTGTTGATTTGTAGCGGCTTGAAAGGTATCTTAGAGATAGCGAGCTAAAATCATGCGTACCCGATATAAAGATATAAGGTTAACCACTCTCATCTTTCTCTTTTATCCGGTTATCTGAATCTCTGAGATACAAGTAGATTATATGTACATCCCAGTCCTGTTGGATCAGCCAAGGACTGAGTGCCCTTGCAGTCCTGGCTGCTTGCAGCTTACGCAAATGAAACAAATTATTTGCAGTCCTGCGTGCTTGCGCAAAACAAGTTGGTTCGTTGAAAAACTTTGACCAAGCACTTCTGTAGCTTACAGCTGTAGATGCGATCAGAAGCGCATAGTAGCAGATTGTTTTCATTGCAGGCCAATACATGTCGACAACGCTCTGGGTGGCCTCAAGATGGCCAAAGACATCTTCACCGAGAAGATAAGTGACAACGGCTCCCTTCAAACGGTGGTCGTGGGCTTGTACAAAGGATACAAACAACACGTACGAAACAACCCCTCTTCGGGCGAGAAGGTGAGGTCTAACAGTTGAGTTGAGCCTTTATTTGTCCGTGGTATCAACTCTTTCTGGATCATAAGAGGCCAAACTTAGCTCTTTCAAGAAGGGATCTTTTTGAGAGACTTTTAGGTCTCCGGATGACTAATTTGTCTACGTCAATGCAAACAGCTCGGCGGAATCCCAATTTTGACATGGTTCGTGTTGCCTGCGAAATTGAAAATCTTACGCAAGGGAAGTCAACTGCTGACTTTGACAACTTAAACAGATCATTTGAGTCTACTTCGTGCATTTATCTCTCTCAGCAGTAGCTTGGACAGCGTTCCACGTAACATTGTTTCATCTCGAATGTCAGATGGTGTTGACGCTTAGAAAAGCTGATTTCTACACAATCGATTTTATGTTGTACCCTGAGTGCAGCTCAGAAAAGGAAATCTTGAGGGTGCACCAAAGGCTGTTTGGGGGACCGAAACGAACAGTCAATGGTCCTCAAATTCTCATAGAGGCTTTCGTTGCAGCCGATCAAAACCAGAGATTTCTAAACAGACCTTGGTTGGATCCGATAAAGCAGCCAGTCCGCCAAAAGATTATCTATCACGCTTCGTCTTGACCAGCTACGGACGAAGCCACTACAACGCGGTAGTCAAAGAAGGGATCCTTGACGCGCTGACGTCTTCCACCTTCCGAGACCAACGCTCTATCTGCAGACCTGAGTGTTTCACCTGAACGTAACGCGACGAGGGACGTTGTCACGCTGACGTCATCACGCTTTCTTCCCCGCAGGTGTCGTGGAAGCGGACGTTCGGCGTGAAGCGCTGCCAGGAGCTAGGGCAGAAGAGACTGCCGGACGCTGTGGACTTCTTCCTGCGAAAGGCGGCCACCAGCCGTGAGCTGTGCGCCGCGATGAAGTCGTTCCTCGACGGCTACTTCTGTTTGCCCGGGACGGCCGCCTGCAACACCGCCACACGCGCGCGCCTGGAGGCGTGCTTCGCGCACATCCTGGCGGCCTTTGAGGCGAGTCTGCCAACGCGAGCCTGGGCATTGAGAGTTGGAGGCCGATTGATGAAGCGGGATGCGTATTCGAAAGTGCGCCGTCTTTGTACGTCTAGCCAGCTTTTAGAATGCTCCCGGATCTAATTGCAGTAACGTTCTGATCTCGACCTGGGTACTGGGACGAGTCCGTGCTAGGCATCTGTATTGTAGAATAACCCACCCGAACCAACTCTTGGGGACTGCTCCGTAATTAATAGCCGATCAAAACGGAGGATCGAGCACCATGAAGGCTCTCGTGGCTTCGCTCTGCACCTGAGGAACTTCAGACGTTTTCGAAGTTGCTTCGCCAAAAGTTGATGACTCAGACGGCCAGTATCGAGATGCTTCGATAACAATCCAATCATAGTGTCGAAGCAATTGCACGGCAGAGGTCTCATTTTTGGAGGGGATTGCAAGGGCTTCGTATCACAGCGGTGAAGTTGTCTACACTTGAATATGAAAGGGACGCGTACCTTTACGTTGTTGAGGCTTCTCTTCAGAGTGAAGCGTTTACCGGATCATCTAATGGTGGACACTTCACCAGTCACGTTCTCTTCTTCTGCTGTGTGGTCTTCACCCCAGGGACGGACACTTCGTTTCTGACGGGGCCGGTGAAACCAATTCTGCCGTTGTAGACAACCTTCGCGCAAAACGGCGTTATTTCCTCCATCTTGCAGCTTTTTTTGGATCCGTATGCTTATCCGTCGTTCCCTTCGATCGCGGTCCAGGAGGTGCACAATCAAAGCCCCACTCTGAATCAGAAGTTTCCTTGCAGGTCCCCAACGGCGAAGCAGAGGGACTCTTCTTCGACAGCGACATCCCTTTCATTGATGCCTTCTGGCTCGAGAACCCTGAAGCCCTCTTCTAGGCTACATCAAAAGGCTCTCGTAGTGAGCTTTGTATTAGGTGTACAGTATAGTATATGGAGGTGCGGCGAGCACCTTTGCTTCTTCAACTAAGTTCTGAGTTGGTTATCGGGTTCAGTATCCGCTGATTCAAGTGACTACTGCCCTTGCGCTAGGTTGGTCCTCGCAGATTCTACCTTGCAATCTAGCTGGTCGAGACAACGTCGGGCTGGTCGGGAATCAGGAGTGCTTATTTTGCGAGCTTTGTATAAAGACACATCATTATATATCTGGGTCATTTCAGAAGCACCGGACGGTCTGATCATGTTAAGAAGTCCCACTGAACAGAGGGTACGAGAAGTGATGATATCAGCGTTTAGCATGTGCGAACCGTGCATTTCGTTAAATTGCAGGCCAATTCTACCATCAAAGGATGCAGTTGCACAAAGTAAAGGTCACTGTCTGCTTCATGGCCCTTGAATGACGTGAGAGGAGCCACGGTCATACTTAACGGCTTTTCAATAAACACAAGAATCAGCTTGCAAGCGAACGGGAGACTGGACACTAATCTGCTGTGCGATTTGATTTCACCGTGTAAAATCGACTAAATAACGTGAATGCATGATCTTACCGTTTCATACTGTTGACTGGAGAGAAGCGGTACGAAGTTTCACTCATTTAGGCGACAGCCATCATTCTTAATCAACCGGTAATCGTTTCCCTTGGTTCCCCAAGGCGCCCTTATTTTCATCGACGTCTTTCCTGAGAGTCCCCACCAATCTCGCAGTCCTCCGCGCCTCAGGACGCCTGAACGCGCCGATCGGGCGCCGGCATGTCTTCGCCTGCCACGTCAGTGTCTTTCTGAGGTGCCAAACATATCCTGACTGCACAAATGTGTCTGCGTTTCTGCCGCATCCTTGAAATCCCGACTCTTCGAAAATGTTTGGTACCTAGGGCTCACGAAGCTCATTGTCTCTATATTATGTCGATATTGGACTCTCCTCGGTCATTCTTCCATACCCGGAAGTCTTGCTGGCCTGTCTCTGCACGACGTCGCTTCATCCGGCCAGTCATTTTCAACCGGTCACCGGGTACTCATTACTGCAACGCCTGGGGACTGAGAAACCTTCCCTTGTGTGTCCATTCTAGCACTCCGTATATAGGAGGAGGAACAGCGCTTGACTCATCGGCTGCTGAGATGGCATGCACAGTCATCTTGCATATGTGACGTACAGACCCGGGGCATAGAGTCCACTGCCAGGTTTACGTCAATGCCAAGAGCAATTTATTACAAATGCGCGCATGTGCTACGTACCGCAGCGAGTACATTTTCTTCAGGGGCAAAGAGCAGCGCATACAAATATCAGGCGTGCCTCTGCTTAATTATAGCTACTGAGAGCGACAACTCCATCAGTGTTGGTACCGACCATGCATGTGGCCAACATTAACCTCCATGATGCAACATGAGCAGGACGGTAGAGTTAAAGAACACCACGTCGAGACGCGGTCTGTGCTGAGCGGACGGTCAGCAAAGAGCACAAGGAAACATATAGCGAATGCAATTGTGCCCGTGTCAGCCATTTAAAGATCCGCCGCGAGGCAATCATGTACAGGGCCTCAACCTTATACCTATGCATGCATCAAGATGACCGTCTATACAAGGCGCGACTTAGGGCTGCGTCATCGATTGCGTGTGCTGCGTTCCCCTTGTACCGTCTCGACTCGGGACTGGTAACAAATGTGAAAGCAGATTTGAAGAAGCCGCTGGATGAGAATTTCAAACCACCGGAAGACCACGTGCCAAGCGTCCAAGGTAATGCACCGGCAAGTGACATCCATGCGTTCCACGCTTTATTTCTGGCGTATCCGCGAACAGGCATCAGGCTATTCATCCGGGGTGATAGAACAGAACTCCTTCTGACTCGTGCGGCCAAAGCTGCATGACCGAGACGTGTTCGTTCACTTGAATCAAAGAGTGGAATAGCAATATAGCGGCGACGGCCCCGGCTTGCTGGCCCATAGACGGATGGCGGTTGTTTTTAGTGCTTCAAGGCTCACGTGGACTGACCGGCCTCCAGGGGTTGAGCTCCAAATGCAACTGACACCAGACCCAAGAGTCCTGTAAAAGGCAAAGAGTGAACGGTGAGGGCTTCCGAGGTTGAAGCTACATTTGTCAGCGCGCTACGCAATACCTTGATTCGGAAGTCTCGTTCTCACGGAGGCAGGTTTGAAGTACACCGGGAAACTCCCTCACGTATCAAGATTTGACCGTTTCTGATCATTGTGTCCGAGCTAGAACGAATTGTCAGCCAGCGAGTCGTCGGACTGAGACTGGAATCGTTGATGTGAAACAGATTGCCTTTCTTCATCGCTCAAACCTTTCAACGTCGCAAAACTGGTCAATGAGAGAAAGGCAATTGAAAGGGACACTTGTTGCGAGGATCCGCCTAAGATATAACAACCATGTCACGTAAAGTTCTCCTGAAACCGCTACTCAGAGGTTCCGCTCACCTTTTTGCCGTACAGAAACCGATGCCACAGGCTTGGCTGCTCTCCGCCTTGGCCGGGTCTCCCAAGCTGACCGTACCCACCTGCACCACCGACGAGCAACCCGCGTGAGCACGCTACAACGTCAGCACGAGGCCTGTCAGCATCGCAGTGCAAAAACTTGGCCAGACCTTTGCTAGTTCGATCGCGACGTGCGTGGCAAAATTGGCCTCTTTCAAGCTAATTGAGTCCTCGATCTACGCTCACTCGACGCCTGAAGTCGGAAGAGATCATAAGCGTCCACGAATCGTCCAGACCTACGAGTAACATGACTTCCGGACCGGCGAAAAGACGTGCAAAGCCAACGCCCAAAACGGCTGCAAAACGATCGAGTTGGGCGCCTCGAACAAGCCTCGATGGTCAAGTGATAAAATGATGCGGGCGAAAAGTTCAGGAGAGGTCTTACCTAGGCGCAATCTTAGGCCCCAATATCCCCTCCACGTCTGTGTAATCCAGTCGCCCGCCCCGCAAGACTCGAATACGTCAACGAAGTGGCCAGTATGCGAGCAAGACGCCCGACTCCCACGTAAATCGTAAATGTTTTTCTGCCAGGTATGGACATGTCTGCATTGATCCTAGTTACCACCCATTGCTCCAACTTCCGAGCGCTTTTCGCCGTGGATTGAACCGACCCAGTCAGACCTTGGATTCCAAGAGTTGCCGGAGAGCCGCGCTGACTGGCAGCAAGATGCAAACGCAACGTATAGCTTTCATATACAACGAGTCCGCATTGCACCACGTAGACCTTCATGAGAATTCCAGAAATATCCTCACCTGTTGGTTTCACGACCCCCGCGGGCCCAGGTGATGTCCGAGGCCGCCAGCGCAAATTACGGGTAAGTGCGCCAGGCTGGGCTGCCCGTCCAAGCCCGCCATTCGGAAGACGCTTCTCTTGGAGAAAACCATCTACAGAAATCCAGAAAGCTAGAATTTAGAAATCTACGGTTAGAGAACTACAGTTAGTCAGGATGCCTTGCTGACCATTCGAAACCCTCTACGGAAGCGGCCCTACCCGCTGTGTATATGCTCTCTTTATCTTCTCAATCTGGGCCTTTGAGCTTTGTAAAACAAGCTGGCCTCTCTGAGATACAAAACGACCCCTTGTTGCCTTAAATAAACCTTGCCCTGGCGTGCCTTGCAACACCGCCATCTCCTAGTGGTCCTCCACCCCGAACGCCACCACGCAATGGACGCCCCTTCATCTCAGAACGCCACAACACCCGTCTGAAATTGCCGCTAGAGATTCCCCGAGGTCGAAAAGGCGCTGAGTTAAACTACCAACATCAATTTTCGAGTCAGAAGCTTCTAACAAACGTTGACCAAGCCCAGCCCTGCAAAGCCTCAATTAGTAAAATCACCTATACCTGGATTTTGGTAGTTTCCGGGAAGCCTTTGAGCTAGGCTAGGCAGCAGTGGGCCCAGGCGCGGGAACGTTTCCGTTCTTTGGCGTACACGCCTGCTTGTGACCCTCCTTCCAGTGGGTTACCTGCGGGCAAAGCGCGCCACTTTGGGCCCGAGTCGCCCTTTTCTATCAAAACGCGACGTTTTGGGGGAACTGACCGCCATTTGATGACGTCAGCCGCATCAGTGCCAACATTCCGGAACGCCGAAAAAATTCTGGACTGTCTCTGACTCGAGGGCGAGGCATCAAGAAAAGTTTCGGGGCTGTTCCCACAACAGCGCCCGAAGGACTTTACAGATACATGATTGAAACATATTTGATCGTCGAATGCTGAATAGCAAACATGACTGTAAGAATCCTTTATTTCTCGGCGACCCGGAAAAGCCTACTTGACGTCGCGAAAATGGGTCGTGGTACACCTTACAAGCAGGAACGATGAGTGAAAGTGATCAACGGATAAAGAAGCGTACCGACTGAGACGACCCGTCATGGAACTCAGCAAACGGCAACAAGAGAAGCGAATCACTACGGCACTGATTGCATATTCAGGGCGTTACGTCGTCAGAAAACGTCGGTACGACCTCGGAAACGGCTCAACTGGGGTTCGGCACACGCACTTAACTGTCTTTCGAATGAAAAGACAGCCACATAAAAAGTGGTGTTCAAGAGAATGGACGGCCCAAATCCTCCATTACTCAGAGCAAGCTTCATTCGCTTCTCAGGCTCCTACAAGTCTTACGTCAGGTATCATTCTGTTACAATCGCCCATACTGGCCGAATTTGCTACTTCATCCTCCTTTCGAAGTTGTGAGCGTCTGGCTGTTTCATAAACATACAACGAAAAGTCAGATTGTTGTTCTTTTCAAGCTGAAAGCTCGTCAAAACCGAAGACGTCAGAAGCGAATCCGCGCACTGGTCCACATAGAGTCCGCAGTCCACCAGCAAAGCCCTGAGAAGCATCTCAACCAGAATGGAAGTTGCATCAGACGACAAAGACGCACCTGGCAGTCCCGGCTGCAGTAGAAGACGCCGCACTTCCTGCCGCACTGCTTGAACGTCCCGCCTTTGCTCTCGCGCTGGTGACACCGCTGGAAGGCGTTCTGTAAAGCAAGACGAGAGGCGTTCGCTGAGCGGCAGCCGCATCGGGTGGGAACGAAGCATGATACTCGGTTTCTCGAGCCTCGAGATAAGAAACGCAAGAGAGAAGGGGCTGTGACGGAGGCAATGATCCAAGCAAGAGGACACAACGCTAGGCAAGTGGCAAGACCCGACAAATCATCGACAACTCGCTGTCTTTGACGAAAACAGTGGGCGCCGTTTGCCACGCGCGTCGGCTGTTTTGGAGGCAGATGATCTGATGAAATAAACTGTCCACTCGACCCGACACATTACTTGGCACCACACCGCCGCCAAAGACAAGAGCGAGCACAGGAAAGGCCGCATTACAAAGCTTGTCGGATCCAACAAAATCCCAATTTCAGCATTCTGTGCTCAGCTTTCTAACGGGCGGATTCCAAATCAGAAAGGACAAGGTCAATCAAGACCCTGATTCTTCACCAATTTCAACACTCGGCTGGATAAGTACTCGTGTCGCGCTGAGCACGACAGAGGGCGCCACTCACTTTCACCCTGCCGCACCTGCGCAGCCCGTACTTCGCTTCCGCTCGTTCCCACAGCCCGTCCGCCAGGGCAGCAGCGTCCGCCAGCCTCTTCCGCGCCCTCGTTTCCCTGTCCGTTTCCCAAACCGTCGGGTCTGCCGACTTCAAAAACACCGTTCTCGGGGGGCTGAGGTTTAGGAACCCGGCCGCTGCCTCCACCCCCCCGCTACGAACAAACTCGACAAAGGCCGCGTCGCCTTCACCCTGAACCAAGTCCGAAAGCAGCTTTATCAGCTGGTAGACGGCTCCGAAGACGCGGGGCCACACCGCGGGGGGGTCGAGGTACGTCTTAGAGACGAACCATTCGAGCTTCAGATCGTCGGCCTCTCGGACCCCCGGAGCGGTTAGCAGACCCGCACCGGCGCCGGTTGCGCGGTCCTCTTGAGAGGGTTCCTGATCCCAGCCCTCCGCCATTGCTCTCGCGTACACCGAGAGCGCGTACTTGAGGCTCGCAACCGCGCGCTTCATAAAGCCTCCGTTCGTTTGCAAGGCCGGTTCGGCCCCGGCATCGGTGCACGCCTCCAACACGTTCAGGAGGTGCAGCTCGTACGACCGGCTGTCGGTCCGGGCGCCCAGAAAGTCGGCCGCGCACTCCGCCACGCCTAGTTCCCGCGCGAGCCTCTGCACCTCCGCCATCTCTTCCGGGCACGTGTGGTTCTCGCGCAAGAGCGCGTCGAGCATCCCCCACGCCCGGAACGCGAGCGCTCGTTGCGTTCCGCTAAACTCGAACGTCCCCTCGACAACTCTCTTCCCGAGTTTCAGCGCGGCGTTGCGAGCGGCGACCAGCCGGGCTGACGGGACGCGCGCGCACTCGATTTCTATTGGCAGAATCGCGGCACTGAGAAGTCGTGCCTCCAATGGGGGCCGCCGCACGATCCAGCGGAGGAGGCGTAGCACAACGGGGTCCATTGCAGGCGGACCGGACAGGCCGTCCGACTCTCCGTTCAACCCGTCCGATTGAGCGCTTCGCCCGTCCGAAGTACCTTCTTGCTTGTGCGGAACTTCAGACTGCATTTCCGAACCCCCTGGTCCCTTACCCAAATTCTTTTCCTCCCCAAGAATCCCTTCGCCGCCGTCCGAATCCCGTTTCTCCCCGTCCGACCTCTCCGTCTGCCCGTCCAAGCTCTCCTTTTGGGCGTCCGGATCGGACAGGAGAGCAACAGATGCATCAGGCAAAGAATCTCGCTCCGTTCCGATGACTTTCCGCTCCTCATCCGCTTCCTCGCGCCCTTGCAAATGCTCCGAAGACCGGGCTTCTCCGTTGCCCGCTTCTGACGCCCTGCCCCCCTCCTGTCCCGGATCTCGTGCCCGCCAATACTCGGACGAAGGAAACTCCCTGGGAGCCGTGTCCCCGGCCTCTGCGGCCGCGGCTTCGTTCAAAAAGCGCCGGTTGATCGAGTCCAAGGAAGTAAGCGCAGCTTCTGCATCGGCCCCCTTGTTGACTTGCAACAGCCAATTCCCCAGAGGGCCCTCGAAAACGTCCATCAGCGCGTCTCGGACGCCCGCCTTTTCGTACGGCAAACCGTCCAGACTCTGACGCATCAAGGCCGCGCCCCCCACCTCCGACTGCAGGTCTCCCAGCAGAACCGCCGGAATTGCTTGAACTCCGCGCAAGACATCCGCCTTCTTTCCGGACCGCAGCAGCGCCGCCACTTTGTCAGGCGGCACGTGCGAAGCTCCCCTCGGTGACCATCCAAAGGCCCTTTCGTCGTCAAGAAGATGCTCCGAGAATTCATATCGACTCCCCTTGCCGTCTCGTTCCCTCATCCGATCGTCGATCACCTTGCGAACCGTCTCCAGCGTCCCTCGCAGTTCCGGGCTCCAAGACCGTGCGTCCGGGATCGCCAACATTTCCTTGCACATCTTTTGCATCCGTTTCGCCACTCTACTGCGCACTCCGCGGCCGGCCCCCAGGTACTTCAAGTAAACCCTCAGCCACGCTTGCTCGACAGCCTCCTCGTAGACCGCCAACGCCGCGCACTCAGGCTGAGCTCCCAGCAGCCGCTGCCACGTCAGCACGGAGAGGAGCCACTCCGTGAGCTCGTTCCGCCGCTCGTTCCTGAACTCGTCAAACGCGCTGTTTTTGAGGGCGAGCTCGAGCACAATCAGCATGTTTGCGGCGCACTTGCACATTGCCTGGTTTGCCTCTACGACCATGAATGTCCGGGGCTGCTCGAAACCTTGCGGGGGCCAGGCTTTCAGGAGCGCCGGCAGCAGCTTCAGCCGCACTGCCTCGCGGCCGAACTCGGCCGTCGTGAACATCTCGGCGAGCAGATCCAGGCAGCTCGAGAAGCGCTCCAGCCGTCGGATCCAGCGGGAGTACTGCGCCGAGCGGTTGGAATCCAAGCTGCTCAATATAACGGGCCGTGTCCACTGTTGGAGATGGTCTACAAGGTTTGCAACCTCCTGTGCCAGCCCCGCCTTGTCGAGACTCTCCGCAAAATCTGAGAAGAAGGCCATGCGCCCCAGGAAAGATACAAGCGCCGTGAAGTCTTGCTGGCAAGCACGCTCTTCTCGTGTGGCGTCGCGGAGTAGAACCGGGTGGTGAAGCAGCTGAACAACAGCTCGGACCAGGGACTCATTCTTCATCAGCTTTTGCACCTGGGGAATGGAAAGGGGTTGATGTGATTGGTCTGGTCTTCCTGAGGGGGAGCAATCAAGTTGTTACGAGAGTGGCGATAAAAAAGGAGGGTCTGAATGCGAACAGGGCTTGAAAGGGAGGCGTGCTAGAGTTTGTGGAACGGCGCGCGACTGGATGCCACAAGACTCAGTTACGGAGCCGGCCTAGTTGAGCGCATCACGACCTTTTGACGGGTGTCAGATGCATAGCTGGGAAATGAAACTAGACTTTCAAGATGGTCATATTACAACAAGAATCCAGCAGAATCATTTCAAGGCTCAGAAATGCACAGTGTTAAGCAGGTTTCAAAGCCTGGAACACTTCCATTGCTCTTGAGAACAGTCTCCGGAGTCATCTTTTGTGGCCTCAGATCATGCCAGACCAAGGAGAGTCTGACTTATTGTACAGTGTCAAAAGGCATCAGGTGGTGGCTGAAGGCTCCTGTAAGTCATGGGATCCGTCAGGTATGTCATTTTCCAGAACCCTAAATCCCTAAAGGCCTAAAACCACTAAGGCCCTGGATTGAAGCTAGAGGCTTAAGATGGATGAGAGACCCAATCAAAGGCATCAGCTCTAGAATTGAGCTATTCAATGGTTCTTTCCCATTTGAGGAAGTGCAAGCACAACTGAAATGAGACAAGAGGCGCTGCTCACCTTCTTCAGGGGGGGAGTTGGTTTCAGCAGCAGTTCTTGCATCTCATCTAGGGCCAATTGTTTACGTTGTTTCTTGTGCCAGATGATGTCGCAACAGAGTTTGTGCATAGCTCCAACTGCTTCCAGCACGCTCTTGTCATCACCCTTCTCCAGAAGCTCTTCCAAGTATGCAGCAGAGTCCTGTGATTGGAAGAAAAGTTGTGAATCAGGGGCTAGTGGTTCAACAGTCATCTTGTGCTGCTTTTAGCATTGCATGACATGAAGTTGCCTGAGAGCATCAAAGGTGGATTGCAACAGTGATATACTGGATTGCCTTTGGAAAGAATTATCTTGGAAAGAAGTATCAGGAGCGGATATGCCAACAGTGTGATTTCGAATCGTAAAAAGTTCCATCTATTTGCTTTTATATCAACAGGGTAGACAAACATATACTTCGGGACCTCCAAGCTCACAGCTTTGGCTCCAAGAAGAGCTATGAGTGCCAGCGGTCTAAAGATTGGGTTTTAGAAATTTGTGGCACTGTTAGTCATATGCTCTTATACAGACATCGTCAGAGCAATCCCCTTGAACCAACATCTGCCACAACTTTCATAAGCACATTGAGGAGCTGGATAAAAGTCACATCCTAGAGTTTCCCATACTTTTCCGCAGATAAATTTCAAACACACAGTTCTTGAAATTCTGACTAGAAACTTTTTGAGTGATTGCTGAAATGAATCTGTTTCCCTCTTTGACAGGGTCAAAATCGATTCACCACCACTTCAGCAGTCAAAAGACAAGCATAATTCAAAGAGTGCGCGGCAAATGGGCCTCCTGACCTTCTTTACTGAAAGTTCTGTGGCCATGTTGTTGACTCGGGTCAAAGTGTTAGGGGAGAAGAGGAGTCCTGGAACTCCAGCTCGGCCAACAAGCTGCTCCCCTTAAAGCTGCACAGCTACCTGGAGTCACATATCATGACCTGCTGATGCACCTGCCAGCTCACTGCTCATGCATGAGGAGATTGGTACGCCGCATGCACCAATAAAGTATACTCAAAAATAAAAATGCACAGCGCTCCGCAACGACATCTTCGTGCTAGGGCACCTTCCTTTTCCCATCTCCGCTCAATTTGCAGACGATATACGAAATCTCTTACAAGAAAACTAGACCAGCTTCTTATCTCAAATGCGCCTGCAGGACCTCTTTGACAGCATCAATCAAACGAAATTACTCTGGATTTTGAAAGAGGCAGTTGGAGGCTGGAGCAAGAGTGAGAGTGCATTCAACCTTGAGCACACGTGACTGAACCGTTCCGCTCCATGTCACAGCGCCACACACTGCCGGGCCCGGAAGCTTGGAGAGCATTGGACTCAAGGTCTGCATGGCGCCGGCGGCCGCTAGCGCGGCGGCCGAGGGCCGCGCGGGCCGCCGCGGTCCGCTCTCTTTCGCTCGGTGCAGCTGCCGCGTCCTCAGGCATGTTTTGCTTGCCCGTGAGCCTGCATGCGTTTCCGGCGGAAGTCTGTTGAAAGCTGACGGGCCATGGCAGTTCCGAAGTTCAACGTTTCTCTGCAACACGCTTCTTCTTATCGCCAAGGATTCTTCGAAAGCATGCATGCATCTCAAAGCCACCAAATCTCACATATTCAAACAAGCAACCAAGAAACTTCGTGACGCATCAATTTTTTGTCGGATCGTCATGAATGTGGTCAGCTGGATGTGGTATGATACCAAATGCAGGTACGCTCCCTTCAAGTTCGACGGCGTTTACTTTCTTGTAGAAGAATTTCGCACAACAATCACACGCTTTGAAACTTGAGCCCACTTGAACACGAAAACAAGATGGTTGTCAGTTTCTTTTCCGCGACTTCTGGGATCTCACATCTAACTGTATCTATGAGGAGATCTCGGAAAACATGGAATTATTCTTTGAGAAGAGAACATTGAACCCTTTCCTCTATTCCTGCTTCTTTGTAGTTCACCACAGACATGTAGCGCAATCGGGAGCGCAAATCAAAGACCGGGATTCTGACGTCAACTGTGAAGTCATTTCCAAATTCAAGGCACTATTCGAAGTTGACGCCTTTAGTTATGTGGCGACAGTAGATTGATCACTGCCATACTTGAGCTCAGTTAGCATGTAATACTTGATCGTAATGTGTGTCCACTTCCATCAAGGCCCCCATCCTTCCATCTGCGGAACAAGGAATAAAAAGATCAAGAAAGCATGTGGGTTTCAGCCGAAAGGAAAGTGTACATTGCAAAGAAGGATCGCAATGTTGCGGCGCACAGGTCTCAAGGCTTGTATATCGTGCTCAGAAAGTCGACAGCAAACGAAGTCGGCAAGAGTCGAACCAAAACACGCGGCCTAAGAAGCCATTTAAGAGCACCACCCGATAAGAAAAACGAAATTTCAACCGTTTGCTTGTTTCCTTGGTTCGGTAGTATGCAGGGCGGTCGGATTCAAAGAAGCAATCAGTCTCGCTGCAAAAGTCTGCCACGTTCAAGAAGCATCCCCAAAGACCACCTGAACTATGAGGGCACGAGCCGTTGACAATGAGCCGAACAGCACCAAGGAACGACTAGCAAAGCGGCGCCCCAAGGTCGGACCTGATCTGCTAACCATAAAAGCACAAGGCGCAACGCCCTGCTCAAGCGACTACTTTGCGGAGTCTGCATGATGCCAGAGTTGCACCACGCCAGAGTTGCACCACGTGAATCCAGGAAAGGAAGTGCGGAAATACCCTCACCAGACAACTTTCACGACCTCCCCTAAGGCTCAGAGGAACGTTTGAGACCCGCCAGCGCCATGCTGGGACGCGCATCCAGGGCCGCCACCCAAAGGTCGCTTCTCTCGGGGAAAACCTTCTACGAAAATCCAAACAGCCTGAAGTTAGAAACTTTACAGTTGGTCGGACTGCCTCGCTGACTCCCATTCACAACTTCAAGAAGGCGGCCCTACCCGCTGTACATGTTCTCTTTTACTCTCTCAATCTGAGCCATTGAGCTCCAGGTCAAGAAAATGTATTCTGGCGCTTCGCTTCCTCAGATATACAAAATGACCTATCCTTGTCCAAGTCGTTACTCTCGCGGGCCTTAAAAAGCCACCTTCTCAAAGAGGTGCTCCGCCCCAAACGACACGGCGCAATTGACGCCGCCCCGACTTTGAACGTGGTCGACGACCACTTTTGAGATCTCGTTCGAAACCACCCAAAATCGGCGAGCAGGCACTCAGTCGAGACTACCATCAACAGCTTTTGAGTTTCACAAACTCCTACCAGACAATAGACAGGGTCAGGGCCTAAAAACCCAAAACATTTGGACACTCCCGCACCTGGCTGTGAGATTCGACCTCTGCGCAACGTTTGAGCGAGTTAGGCAGCGGTAGGCCCAGGCGCAGGGATGCTTCCGTTTCTGGGCGTGCAAGCCTGCTTGTGACCCTCCTTCCAGTGGTTTACCTGCAAGGCGCGCAACGTTGTGCCTGAGTTGCACAGTTGACCGCAATTTGATGACGTCATCCGCATCAGTGTGAACATCTCGACTGGAGAAGAAAAGCCAGACTTTGATCCGCTAACCCGCTTAAGGGCGAAGTAGCCAGACTGCTCTCAGGAATGGACCTGACAGACAAGCATCCAAGCAATCAAATTCTTGGGCCGCCAAACCATTTAGTTGCACACATGACTTTGAGAAAGCAACCCGGGAAAGCTTACTCGTGACGTCACAAAACTCTGTCATGGTGCACAAAATAGCAGGGACGTCAATTGAAAGCAATGAAGTGGAAGACTGAGTGCAGACTGACTTTTTTTCATCATGGAACCCGGGGAAGGGGAAGAAGCAAAGCAATGCAGCATCATAGATGCTTATTCGAGGCAGTCCGACTCGCTTTGGACTCAGGCTGGAATTGCAATCGGCATGCGCATGTCGGCTGTCTTCGGAAGAACAAGAGGAGGCGCTTAGACGTCAGACGTCACTGTCGTCCCGCATTAGTCGCAGACGCTGCAGAATTCCGCTCCTTTGGTTGTCCTTCCGGATCCTGAGGGTTTGCCTGCTTTACAGGTATGGATGAAACGGACAAGGTTTCATGCCCTTCAGAAAGAGTCTTGTCGGAATTTCACTCATGCCCAGATCCGAGCCCACGCACTGTTTCAGATCCAGTCCAAAAGCCGACGGCAAAACCATGAGAAGCGTCCCAACCAGAACAGACGGTTCAACCATGATAACGCCGCACCTGGCAGTCCCTGCTGCAGTAGAAGACGCCGCACTTCCTGCCGCACTGCTTAAACGTCCCGCCTTTGGTCTCGCGCTGGTGACACCGCTGGAAGGCGTTCTGTGAAGCAAGAAAGACAGCCGTTCGCGGATCGGCGTTCGTATTCCAGTGGAAGCAACGCAGGATGCTCGGTCTTTCGAGAATCGAGAAAAGGACGGAGTGCACACGCAGGAGAGCAAGGGCATCGACAGAGGTTGAAAGTCAAACAGGACGCCACAACGCCAGACAAGTGGGGAGATTCAGAAGTCATATCAATATTCTGCTGACTTTGATGATAAGAGTCTTCAAGGGGTGCCTGATCGAAGCGTTCGCAACACACATCGGCTGTTTGTAAGGGCCTACAGTCTGATGAGCTTTATTAATGTGCACTCGACCCAACATTCTACTTGGCATCAGAACGCCACAAAGAACAAGAGCGAGAACAGGAAGGGCGCTTTGAAAAGCTTGTCGGAAAAAGCTCAATATTAGAGTTCTGTGCTCAGCTTTCTAAAGCACAAAGTACGGAGTACAAGATCAGTCGGCAACCCTTGTACTGCACTCTTCTCAACACTCAGCTGAAAGATAGTGCCGCGCTGAGAACGACAGAGGGCGCCACCCACCTTAACCCTGCCGCACCGGCGAAGCCCGTACTTCGCTTCCGCCCGTTCCCACAGTCCGTCCGCCAGGTCAGCGGCTTCCGCCAGTCTCTTCCGCGCCCTAAGCCCCCAGTCCGTCTCCCAAATGTTCGGGTCATCCGACTGACACATCAAAAGTCTCGTGGGGTTGAGGTCTATGAACACGGCCGCGGCCTCCACCCCGCCGCTGCGGACAAACTCGACGAATGCCGGCTCGCTTTGGTCCCGGATGACGTCAGCGAGCACTTTGAGCAGCTGGTAGACGGCCCCGAAGACGCGGGGCCAGACGGGGGGGGGGTCGAGGCACGTCGCAGACACGTCCCACTCGAGTTTCAGATCGTCGGCTACTAGGATTCCAGGGGCCGGGAGAAGACGGGCAGGGTTTGCAGCGGATTCGCCACCTGGCAGTTGGAGGGGGTCGGGGGGGGATCCCCTCCTCATCCCAACCCTCGGTGTTCGCTCTCGCGTACACGGACAGCGCGTACTTGAGGCGCGCCACCGCGCGCTTGATGAACCCTGGTTTCGTCCGCAGCCCCGGCCCGTTCCGAGTGCACGCCTCCAAGACGTTTAGCACGTGGAGCTCGGAAATGCGGCTGTCCGACCCCGCGCCGAGCAGGTCGGCCGCGCACTCCGCCACGCCTAGTTCCCGCGCGAGCCTTCGCACCTCCGCCGACGCCTCCGGGCACCTGTGGTTCTCCCGCAGGACCGGGTCGAGCAGCTCCCGCGCGCGATGGGCGAGCAACCGCTGCACCGGCCCCGGTTTTAGTTCCATCTCGAGCACTCTTTTGCCAAGCGCCAACGCGCCGTTGCGCGCAGCGACCACGCGGGCCGATCCGACTCGCGCGCACTCGATCTCGATCGGCATGAGCGCGGCCGCGAGAATCACGGGCTCGAGCGCGGGCTGCCGCACAACCCACCGCAGGAGGCGCAGCACGACAGAGTCCATGGTGGGCGTGCCGTCAAGTCCGTCCAAAACGCTGTCTCGCCTGGTCGACTCGACACTCTGTCCGTCCGAACTTCCATTCCGCCCGTTCGATACCCCGTCCGATTTGTCCCCGATGAAGTCTCGCCCGTCCGGACTTCCATTCCGCCCGTCCTGATCCCTGTCCGGCCCGTCCAAACCCGCACTCCGTCCGTCCAGATCCCGGGCAGGCCCGTCCAAAGTCGAAGTGCCCGTGAGCCCGCCCAACACCTCTTTCTGCCCGTTGCAATCTGCGTTGGAGGCGTTAGAACCTCTTGAGAGACTTACCTCTCTCTTTCGTGCTACGAATTGGTCCTCAATCCCTGCCTCAGTCCGACCCAAACCTCCCACAGTTCGCACTTCTCCGCTTCCCGCTCCCAGAGCCCCGTCGTCTCCAGGGCCCGCTTCTTTTGCCCGCCAGTACTCCCACTGCGGAAACTCTGCCGGGACCGACAGTTTTCCAGCTTCCGCCGCCGCTACTTCACTCAAGAAACGCCGGCACATCGAATCCAAGGAAGTGAGCGCAGTCTCGGCATCGGCCTTTTGGTTGGCCCGCAGCAGCCACCCCCCCAACGGGCCCTCAAACGCGTCCATCACCGCCTCCCGAACGCCGGCCCTCTCAAACGGCAGCCCCCCTTCCAGGTCGCGGCACAGCGCGACCTTGTCCCCGTTCACTCGCGTAGCCCCCTCGAGCACCGCCCGGATGGCCTGGATCCCCCGCAACACGTCAGCCTTCTTCCTGGACCGCAGAAGCGCCGCCACCTTGTCCGGCCGCACCTGCGGCGCCCCTCCTGCTGACGTCAGTAAGGCCAGCCCGTCCTCAGGGGGTTGCGCAACAGCTGCAGACGCCCCCCCCCCGCCGTCCCGCTCCTTGATATGCTCGTCCATCACCTCGCCGACGACTTTCATGGTGCTCTGCAGCGTCGGGCTCCAGGTCCGCGCCTCGGGACTCGCCACTAGCTCCTTGAACGCTTTCTGCATCTTTCTCGCCAGTTTGCTCCGGACGCCCGAGCCGGCGCCCAAGCACTGGCCGTAGATCCCCACCCAGACTTGCCTAACAGCTCCCTGGTAGTTCTGCGACGCCGTGCACTCGGGGTAAAACCCGAGGAAGCGCTGCCACGTCAGCACAGATAGGAGCCACTCCACGAGCTCGTTCCGCTGCTTCTCTTTCCACTCTCTGAACTCGCCGTTCCGCAGCGCCAACTCGACCGCTCTCAGCATGTCCGCAGAGCACTCGCACATCGCTTCGTTCGCCTGGATCACGTTGAAGTACCGGGGATGGTCGTATCCCTTTGGGGGCCACGCTTTCAACAATCCCGGCAACAGGCCCACTCGAACCGCTTCCTGCCCAAAGTCGGCCCATGCTAGCATCTCCGAAAGCAGCTCCAAGCAGGTCGAAAGGCGCCCCAGGTTCCGGATCCAAGTGAGGCAGTTCTCCCCACTGCTGGGGACCATGTTGTTCAACAGAACAGGCCGAGTCCATTTCCGGAACGACTCCCCGAGATTCGCAACCTCCTGCGCCAACCCCGCTTCCGTGAGGCTCGAGGCAAAGTCTGGGAAATAGCCTATGCAACTCAAAGAGGAGGCCAGCGCCCTGAAGTCTTGGTTGTTGGCGGCCTCTTCGGCGGTTGCGTCGCGGAGTAGAACCGGGTGGTGGAGCAGCTGTACGATGGCTTGGACCAGGGACTCGTTCTTCATCAGCTTCTGCACCTGAGAGGGGAGAAGAGGCCTGCATTGACATTCTTTTCCAAGGGCAAGGGAGAGAAGCCCATGCTTTTGAAGAAACCTGATCATGATGGCGCGTATACGAGGCGTCAGTCAGCAGTCTTGTGCCCAGTAAAAGAGTTGGGACTGAGATCTCAGGCTGCAAACTCATCACATCTAAGTCACACAGGATATTGATCATTTGACTCTGTACCATAGTATTCAGGATCGTGGTACATGTACTAAAATAAAGAGCAAACCTTGTGAACTTCTTTAGAAAGACAGACAGGCAGGACTTCTTCAGACCCTTTAATGAAAGGGATCAATTCTTCAAAGGCCCTTATGCCCACGTTGAATAAGTAGCACTCCTAACATTGCATGAGTTTTACCTTCTTCAAGGCAGGGGTTGGCTTCAGCAGCAACTCTTGCATTTGTTCACGAGTCAAGCCATCGGGATGCTTCTTGTTCCAGATTATGCTGCAGCAGAGCTTGTTCAGCGCCGCAACCGCCTCCTCCGCTCTTGTCATCACCCTTTCTCAGAAGCTCTTCAATGTGCGCAATCGGGTCCTGTCAAGGAGGGAGGAAAGATCTGGGATTGGGCAGTACACGTTTGCAGTTCTTTTAAGTCATACAGTGGGGAGTCTTGGTGGACAGTCTCTGCATTCTCAAGCACAAAGCTCACATATGTTGACGTCAGAAAAGCTTAAGCGAGAGGGGGATCAGGGAAGAGCATGTGTACGTGATCGTCAACACGTCTGTCCTTCAACAGGAAAGAGAGGGCAGGCTGGCAGCTGTTTGAGCTACCAAGGTGACAACTTGTCAGAACAGAAAGGCAGCGTTGAACATATCTGTATCCGTTAAGTGAGCGACATGTCCAGAAGCTAGTCCCCGATGCATAAGCTGTACATGCAGGCATGAATACAACATTTGCCGTGATGTAACCAGCACTCAGCAGTAGTCTGTACATTCAAAACTTTTGGAGAATGTTTTGCTGGCTTGAATGCTGCACATCATGTGTGCAGTTTCTACGAACGGTTTGATCAGGCACATCCACCATAGTGGTCACTAACACAGGCACATTGTTACGCTGAACGAAGCCCTTACCTTCTTTGCTGGAGGATCTGCCATGATATCAACTCAGCTGATGTATCCAGCTGCGCGACCGGCCACGATCGGCAAAAGTCTCAAGCTCTTACTGCACCGGCTGTAAGATGCCCTCAGATGCAGATCTCCTCATTGAAGCTCTATGAGCTGTCCCTTCTCAATCCCTTGGCAAAGCTAAGAGCAGAGAGAACGCTAAAAAACTCAACTTGCATTCAACCTGCGATGCTGACGGTGAAAGCACTCATGCCCGCAAAGCTTCAGCATCTGATTGCTGGTGGCAGCTGCTGCAATTCACCTGTACGTCTCACACAAATAGTGCATAATATGGCAACGCAGACCAAGACATCCTGAAATGGCGCCTCCAGGCTCAGCCTCAGGCTCCATGCAGTTTCTGACGCTTTGAAGAGAGAATTCCGGTTTTGCTAGGTCTTGGTTGCGGTTTGTCTAAACCCGGGTGTTTGAAGTGTGAACCTGGCCTGGGCAAGTTGAAACGGCTTGCATGCATACTACCCTTGCTCCCACCTTGTTTCGACGGGTGTGCCATGCATTTTGCAAGATTTTGATTCTTAGCCCCTGATAAGGTCTCGAAGAGTTGATATGAATGGGCGACCTTAGGCATACATTTCCGTGGCGGGGGTAGGTCCTTATGACGTGTTCATGTATCACTTTCTTTTCAGGGCCATGGCGACAATGTTGATGTCCTCAGTCACCGCTGGGCGTTGTCTTTGAATGAGAATTTTATCGATAAGGATGGCATGTACGTTATGAAGCCAACTTAACGTCCATTTTCAAGAGCCGCTCCCAGAATCCTGAGGCATACATCTAGATCTTGCATATAAGCTTCCTTGCAACTAAGGCCGCGGTGTACCTTCAAGGTATGTCTGCACTACATATTTGACTTAGGCCGTGACCATGTGAATCATTGTTCATACCTGTCGTTCCTCAATCTTCGAGTTCGCCATAAAGATCGATGATCGTAACCCTCAGCATACGTTGTCTTTTCCAAGAGCTTTAGTTGGGAAGGCAATGGAATGACCCAATCTGCTCTGTATGTCCTTGCAATCTGTTTGCATTTCCACCTCCTTTCCATGCATGAGATGCAAGGGCTGGCAATGACATGCAAAGGCTGGGAATGACATGCGGAAAGGGGATACATACATCAACACGACGCTTCCTGTCGCTAAGATTTCCCATGATGCTCACAAGCCTTATCAGAACGTGTATGCACCGCAGACTCACACATGTTTTAAATATTCTGAAGAGTCATGAAGACACATAATGATCTTCATGTCAACAAACGCCGATGACTCAGTGTAATCTGGATTTATGTGTTCAGATATTCGCAGGCCAAATGACTTCTTCCCATGCATCCTAAAAGGTTCGGGAGGGCTTGTTGGTCACGAACTCTGATCTCTGGCTCGTGCTACACTCGGGTCGTTGATCATTCATCGAGTAGCCGCAAGAAGAGCGAAGGTGCTGCAATGCGGACTTTTGTATCTGCTATGTCGAGGTCGTGACCCCCTTCGACAAGGCCCCACTCTTCCATCTGTCGCAACAGGGGAGGTGCGTCAGTTTCGGGGAAACGTGTTGGAGCTTCAACGTCAAAAAGGTTTCGAGCCCAAACGGAAGTGTTTCTTGCAGAAAAAGACTAGCAGACCAGAGATCCTGATCTCGTTCTTAAAGCAGTCGAGGAGCATCAAGTTGGTGAACCAACAAACAAACACTAGCAGTCTGAATCCGTCCTTATACCACTTCGAGAGGTTGAATATAGGATAAAGCCTTCCTCTACTTTTTGAGAAGCTTTGAGAAGCTGTGCGGCGCCTACAGGTGGCCAAGCAATCAACGGCTTCAGGTCTCCCCTGCGGTTGCGAGAGCGTTCTGAATTGATTGAATCAAAGTGCACGCCATGAGCAGCACCTTACAAGCCCTCCAGGAACCGACAATCCCTAATAAATGGAACCCCAAGGAGGGACCCACTTTCCAGATTCCAGAGAGTACAGAAAATAGAAACCTGATCAGGCACTCGGTCCGGCACCAGCACTTCGCATGAGGCCGCCTTTGCATGAAAAAAACTAGATGGGGCAGAAAAGACGAAGCCCTGACCTGATGGTCTTCCTCCACTCGCACCGCCTCCAGCGCCTTCCGTGGGCCCAGGTGCCCCCTTGAGACCGCAAGCGCAATCACAAGCGAGTGCGCTGAGCTGGCGAGCGCGTCCACGGCCGCCAGCCGGAAGTCACTCTTCCGATGAAGTAGCTCCTGAGAAAGAATAGACAAACGCAAGGGTCAGACCATTCAAAATCATCTCGATCTTGCCAACCATTGGCAAAGCAGATCGCGTGGGCCCAAGTGCGCAATGTGGACCTCTACGAATTCCCTGACACTGCCATGTAGGTTTTGAGCTTGAAGCGGCTTGTTGACGCTCAGAGCCCGGAAAAGGACTACTGGATACAAGAGAGACCGGAACTCGAGCCCTACTGGCTCCCATTCTCACCACCTTCTTCGATGCTCCAACCAAATAACCATGCACCCCGGAGCTTATCAGAAGGATTCTTTAAAGACTCTCGAAGCTGGCCAGAAATGATCCACACACAAGGAGACCACCCTAGACCTTCACCATCTGAGCCACCACCACCTCTGAGAAGTGAGCAGCCGTTATAATCCCAAAGCCTATGTACGGCTGAAAACCTACACGCAAATGTTTTGAACACTCAACTTTCTTTCAACTCGAGCTTTTCCTTCCCGCGCCCAATATGGGGACACAGACAAGGCAGATTGCCGCAACCAATCCCCCCACCTGTACTGTCCGCACCACCTCTGGTGGCTGCTCCGCCCCAAAGATGCTCCCGGACGTCACAGGCCGCACGCCTAGTTCCTGCTGCATCCAGTCTAACAACGGGTCCCAGATCTCCGCTTGCTTCCTTTTCAGGCGTCCTTCCCCCGGGTCCCGCACGCACACCGCGTCCGACGTCCGAAAGTACTTCATCAGGTTATCAACAATCGCGTTTCTTTGCAGGGGCACTAAATCAGTCGCGGTGGAAGCTAGCTTCATCAGCGGCATCGTGAACGGGCGGATGCTTTTCTTGTCTTGCCACTCCCACTCTGCTGCAATGGCGAGAGCGAGCTCTTTCGTAGGCAGGACTAGAGGGCGCCGGGCGGGGCTTGGAAGGCGCTTCCCATCGAGGGTGACGTGGAAAGTCGAGTCTTCTGTTTCTTCTACTCCTACATGTTTGTACCAGCGAATGCCAATTGTGCCGTCTGATTTGGTTTTGCTTGGGGCACTGGCGGCCAGCTCTGCTTCTCTCCTTAAGGCAGAGTCAGATTGGTCTGGGGAACTAGTGGCGGCAGCAGAATGCTGCCAGGCGCGCTGGGATGCTGGATTGAAAGAAGTGGTGGCATATCCCCTGGTTAGGAACCCTTCGTCCGAGTAAGCTGTGCACCGAAAGCTGCCGGTTCGTCCTGTCAAACCCCAGTAAAGCTGGCTGAAAGTGCTATCATTGCTTGCCAGCATTGGACGAGGTATGTCTCTGGATACAAGGCAGCGGTCACTGCCGTTCGTCTTTGCACCCATTGACCAAGGCCCATCTTCTTGAGCGGTCTCTCTACATGCAGAAAGGCCGTAGGAAACTGCTGAAGGCAAAGGAGAGACCGGATCACAGGACGTGGAAGAAGAGCTGGGTTCTCTTCCACGGGCTCCAAGAAAGAAAGATTCCTGCTGCGATAGAAGCTGCAGAAAAGGCACGCGCTGATGGACATAACGAGAAGCGCGGTGACCCCAACCGTACAGCGCCATGCGCGCCCTGGTGTTCTGGACCCTTGCGCGAAGGAGTTGCTTCCTGGTAGGCTCTAAGCGCCAAAGTATTCTGGATCCTCGCCTCCTCTCCTCCTCCAAGCACACAAGTGCGCCCCGAAATGTTGCTTCAAACAACACAATGCCGTTTTTGCTGGATACCAGCACTGCCACCACTTCGGAAGGCCTGCTAAGAAAAATGGGACGACTTCAGGACTAGGACCCTAAAGATCTTCGGCGTCAAGCCAAGATATTAACGGTTTGGCCGGTTTTGCCTTTTCAACTTTCTAGGCCTCAAATTCAGCAAAGAATCGCCGCCGGCTACCAGGTTCCCTGACGGCTTTCGAAGCTCAGGTCAGAAGGGATATCCGATAAGGTTCTCTCTGCAATGTACGAGCAAAAGTGAAGAGTGGTCTAAAAGTCAGTAAGAAGAGCTTCAATTGGCTCGAAGAGAATCCATCTGCAGCTCGCAAACAGTCTGCGAATTGGAGGTGCCCGTTTCGAGAATACATTGTACGGCTCTTCTGCGAGGTCACGGAGCCCTTTGAAGTTTGCTGTTGCCACAAAGAGCGTGGGAATTGGAACGGAGCTTTTCGTCAGCATGTCCGCGCCTGGGGAGAGCAGCGGTGGCAAAGGCGGGGCAGGGAAAGGCAAAGGGAAGGCTGCGGATGCGCCAGAGTCCGGAGCGACGTTCAAGAGGAAGAGGGGGATGTTCTACAAAGATCTGCAGCCAATGATGTATGGCTTTGGAGACGATCCGAAACCCATGCCTGAGACGGTGGAGCTGGTGGAGGATATCCTAGTGGATTACATTACAGATATGCTGCATAAGGTGAGCGCCAGTTATTTGGATGAGGCGGATGGTTGGCGGGCGCGAAACACTGTGATTGAAACTTCATTCCTACATTGCTTCAGGTCCAGTCTTGATGGTACTGGGGTTTGGAAGACGGGATGGCAATTGCGCATAGAAGCTTGCAAGTGCTGAAGGTTGAATCGGCAGGCTTTTGACGCTACTTGAACAATCTCACGGCAATTATCAAAAGTTAGTTCATACTAAGGAGTTGTGCAAAAGGTGAGAAATGCACTCTTGATGTTCAAAGGCACCTACTTTTACAGGTGGTGAATCTCTTGTCTCACTCTTCACAGGCTTTAGCCCTTGCCTCAACATATGTTAAGTGAAGTATGTGCAATCTACTCGGGCGTTACAGCAGTGTTGACATAGTGAGCCTGATAGTGGTTTGACACACCAATTTGGGCCCCCACGCTTCCTGTGAAGCTTACACAGCGGCCTGGCTTGATTGCATGTCTGGGTTGCCAGGAATGTCCCTCTCAGCAAGCATGTTACTTTCTCAAATGCAGGCTTCTGAGGTGGCAGAGCATCGAGCGCGTTTGACGACAGAGGACCTGGTCTTTCTGGTACGAAAGGACGCACGGAAGTACGGGCGAGTCAAAGAGCTCCTTAGAATGAATGAGGAACTGAAGAAGGCGAGGAGAGCATTTGAGACGCAGGATGTAGAGGAGGAGTAGGGTAGCTGCAGGTTAGGAGCGGCTTTGGTCAGGAGCGTCTGCCAAAGCTAGCTTGGGGAGCTGTTTTTGCTTGGTGGTGTGTCTGCGGGAGCAAGTCCCTGATGCTGGCACATCCAATTATTCAAAAGGTAGCATGCTGTCTTTGTAATTACAGATATGAAATCTGTTCAGTGCAAGGTGTACAGAGTCAACTTAGCATCTGATTATCAGTAAGCTGCGGAGACCCTGGACTTCAGTTTTTACTCTCCGAGTTGACCATAGAAAGAACCTCAAGATGCGCACTGCTGTATACTATGTGCACGCCAGGCCCTGTGCATACGTGCTTTTCCAAGGGATCTGCGGAATATGACGAGATATCAAACCTCAGAACAGTTAGCCGATTCTCCTCATGCAAGGGTCACGAATCATTCTGCTGGCCATGTACATGCATGACGCCTAAGGGTGGGGTTCCAGTCCCTTCAATATGTGGATCCACATGTACGCATGGATTTTTCCGGCTCAAGCACAATTGCTCGATTGACATTTGGTACGTGCAATTACACCGGGAGGCCCAAGTTAAGTAAGGTACGTGATCGACGGTTGTGCATGTTGTGATCGATGCCGACAACTCGCGATGCGGCCAGAGTTGTCAGCGCGGTTGGTGATCTGATCAAAGCCACAAGGGCAGTTTCCGATGGAGCGGGAGTGACCACCTTGAAACTGTCTAAATTGATGCTGCGCTAAATCTATACACGCTTGCAGCATGCTACATCTGCACTCGAATACTCATGGGGTCGCTTCTGACATTCGTGACTTTCGTACTCCTCTGCCCTTCTGCAAAACCTTGCCCGCAATTCCGCAAGGTAATCTACCGATATATTCTTCGCAATGTGCGGCTATCTCTCTCCTTGTTCTCCTGGCTTATTGGTGACCACATTTAATCTTCCTTGTAGCTACCTACAGATCACGACAGTTTTTACATTCTTAACGTTTCCCGTATGCGACTTTAAAATGTCCATTCACCTTCCTGACTCTAGCGGTTTTTTAAAACAGTATCATCGGTTCAATCATGCTTTTATTACCTCCGCATGGCCCAACTAGACATGGCGGCCCCTACGCGGACCCCCTCCTCGTCGCTGTCCTCCTCATCGTACGCCATGACGTCGTACTCCTCGTCATCATCTGCGTAGACGTCCAGGTCGCGGTCCTGGCTAGACGCGTCGCTTACAGCGTCTATGGCCCCGTCGAATTCGTCTTCTGGATAGTCATTGTCAGGGTTGTTCTCGTCTGCGAACGCCAGTTGAAATCCACATCAAGTTTTTGAGGATTTCGACGAGGAAACCGACTTACTCAAGCAGGTAAGATCGCTCTCATCTGGTAATCAGCCCCTACAACGAATGGCCTTCTCCCCGGCTCTGCTACGTCTGCGATAACCGCTATTTCCATTTTACAGAGCTAGGCGTCTCATCGAGGTCAACGGAAGCGCATGCTATTGCGTTGTGTTGAGCAACCTTTACATGGAGAACGAAAGCTCGAAGCTTAGCCTACAGCGCAGCGCATCTGCTGCATTCCGAGGGCGCTCATACGACCTGAGAGTGTTCGGCTCAGATAAGGGATGCTAACCGTTGGAGTCTTCGCTGTCGTACTCGGACGGGGCCTCGTCCGTCGGCCGCATGTCCAGATCATCCGCAACTCGGACACTGCGGCAAAAGGAAAGGCGGGCTGGAAACCAGGGATAAATTTGTTGCCCCGTTAAAGGATATGTTTGGCCCCAATCAGAACCTGACTAAAGAGGCAGGAATTTTGATTGCAACAAACGAACAACGAACAAACTGAAAGCGGGCCAAGAATGGGTTTTCTTGTGCCTTATCAAAATTGGTCGCACTTCGTGGGGCTCGAAGTGACTCCTCCATACAAGTTTCAAAACCCTTGACAATAACGGAGCTTATCAAAAGCCGAAAGCTCCTGCTCAAATGGATGCCAGTAAGACGATTCCAGCCCACGAAAATAAGTCAAAGCTTTGACGTTAGAACAGGAAAACTCGGTCGGACAATCTCTTGTATGTGACATGTATTGACAGCGCCGCAAAAAAAAGTCCCCAGCTACTGTGACCGACGTCAGAGATATGGTACATACGCCATACCCTTGCCCGATTCTAAAACCGTTGGGCCTAATCAGAACCTGGCCAATGACGCAGGAGCTTATATGCAACAAACGAACAAGGTGAAAGCACGCAAAGATTGAATTTTCTTGTGCCTTATCGAGAGCAAGGCTTACACGGGATGCAGCTCATCTGCGCCATCCGCTTCGTCCGTCGCCCCTTCCTCCAGCGCAAACACGTCGTACACGTAGTCCTCCCCGTCGCTGACGTCATCCTCGGCCGCCTGGCCGTCGTCCTGCCACGTGGCAGGCGCCTGCAGGTCAGCCGCCGCACTCGGGACAGTCTCGCGCAGTAGCGGCAGGTAGTTCATCAGGAGCATCCGCCGTTCGGACATCTCGTGGACGGCCCTGCGGAACGAACGACGGCCGTCAGAGACAGGCGGAAGGTGACGTCAGTAGTGAACGATGGATGGCGTATGGTTTCAACAGGGAGCCCTGGACATCAACCGCTTGAACGCCTCATGGGATGGCCCCGCTGGGGGAAGAGAATGTCATCATCGTCGTTGGGTCGTCGGGAAGTGTGGATCAATGAAGAGTTCAGGCTAGTTACTTCTTCATGATCGCTCAAATCTTTGAAAGCCCTTGGTGATTGTCAGCAACTGAGAGCAAGCACTCTCGCCTGCCTCATGTCTGCCGTCGAATTGTTGAAAGGTGATACACGACACAAGCTTCGTCTTCTGAACCAGTTTTCCAGGAAGTCCTTAGAAGATACTGAGCCACCGTCCCGCTCATCCCTGGGAACAATGATGCAGGATGGCTCGAAGTTTCTGCCGCAAGACTCGAGCAACATTGATACACCTCTCAATGACTTGCTCCTTCCAACTCTCTTCGCTGCTCTTCTGCCGTTTCTGCAACTCGTATCACATTATCACTCCTACTACTTTTCGTCGTTCCTGACTCACCGTTTCCTCGCCTCCCGCTCCGCCCTCCGCCACTCCTCCTCCTCGTCCACCCTGATGACGTCATACAGCCGGAACAGCTCCCCCATCGGGTCGGCCACCCCCCTCCGCCCCCGTACCTGCTCGTACCGCGCCGCTGACGCTGCCTCGAGCCGCCCTTTCCTTGCTGACGTCATCAGCTCCTGCTGACGCCCTCTCCGGAGGTCCTCGCTGAGGGCGTCCTCTCTCGACTGCCCGTGCGCTTCTATCCGCATGTGCTTTGCGGGGGGGCGTTTTACAGCGGAGCCCTTTTCGGAGTGGGTGGCTTGGAAGACCGGCACTGAAGGAGACCTCTGGGCCCCCGCGGTCTCTGCCTGTTTCCCGTCTTCAGTGATCCTGCCTTCTGCCTCGGCCTCGGTGTTTGAGCTTTCCAGTCTGGAAGGCTCTTCTCTGTCCCGTGCAGGCAAGCCCCCCTCTGAACTTAGTCCCGCCACATCAGGTCCAGTCTGTCGCAGCCCATTGAGTCGCTGCAGTAGCGACTCCCCAGCCCCCTCTGCCCTCAGGTCCGCTTCTGAGACCGTGTCGATTCTGCGGAACAGCTTGCGTGCTGTGGGCCGCTCTTCGATCGCAAGCCTCACGATTGCATCATTGAGGCCCCCGCCTGATTGTTCCCGGCTGGCCACCTCCAGCACTAGAGGAAGGATGGATTAGGTTAGCACTGGGTCGCTGATTGAAGCACGTTCGTGTTGCTTATTAGGGTCTCCCATATTGCGCCAGCTTGTAAGCTTCCTATTCTTTTGGATTGTTGAAAGTTCTGTCGGAAGGAACGCTTATTGTCTGGGAAAAACCAGCGGAGGAAGGAGAGGACAATCGGACTGAAAATGCGCCTTTCAGCCATCCAGAAAATAAAGTACATACAGGGACAGTGAATAGATGCTGAGGCAGCAGAGTTCAATTGACGTGCAATTACTGCCCTGTATTGGTTTGTCCTACCAATCAACTCCACCATCTCATCAAAAACATCTGGGCACAACTCCTCCAGCCAAGACGGAGCTTTTGGAGTCACGAAAGCCACCTAAGATCACCAACTGCAGACTCACTTAAAGCATCTAGCGGCGACTCCGTCCTCCTCCTTTTGATCCTGACCACCGTCGGCCTTTCTGCAGCTGCCAAGCTGCTCTGTCCCCCTTTTTCATCGCTTGCTTCCTCCCCAGGCTTGCCACTTCCATCAGACCGCATTCCTTCTTGTGTGAAAGAACCTGCAGCCCCTTTCGGATCCCCCATTGTACTCGTCTGAGCATTTGTGATTAGCGCTGCATCTGACGCTCCTTCACCACTCAACCTCAATCCGTCTCCTCCCCACTGTTCATTCTTCAGTGGCAGTCCCGTCACTGATGCGTCAGCTCCAGCAGAAGTGCGGCTAGTGTATGCTTCCAATGGGCCGTCTGATTGCTGCTCCTTCGCTGTTTGCAGCTCCATCCCTCTCGTTTGCAGACGTCCTACTGAAGGGCCACAAGATTGCGACGCTCTTTAATGTCCAGAATGGCTTTCGAGAGCTAGCAAGTGAAGGTTGGATTGATCTTATGAAAAGTGGCAGATGCAGCGTCCTTGCAGAAGAAGCAAGCGCCACAAAAGGGTATTGTCCTGCTCCGACTCTGAGCTTGAATGTGGAAGTTGGAAGCTGAGGATTGTCCAATCCACAGATTTTGCAAAATTTTTAGCTCGCCCATATTTATATGGGGCGAGCTGTAGCGGTCATCCGGATGTGGGGTCCGTCAGGCATTTTATTTCGCTGTACGACGTCACCGTGTTCAGGTGGTTAAATTCGCCGGTCGCGTCATACTGTGTATTTTCGAAAAGTTTAATGTTCTGTGAAATCCACTGTGAGTAAGGCCTTAATGTACAGCAAAATCCTACCAACGAGAACCAAAAGATCAAATGGGCCCGTTCCTCGTCATTCGACATAATCTAACGCCGTGTTTTTGCGGTTTTTTCGGGAAAGGGCAAACCAACTTGAGATTTTTCCTTAAGCTCTTTGAATCGTGTTAAGGTCTAACGCGCCAGTTTAACCCATTTTTCCCGGCGGTGCCGGGACGCACGACAATTTCCGTTTGGCCGCATTTTGCCTGATTGGAAACTGCAGCGTGGGGTATTGCTCCGGTCAGCTCTGAGATGAAAATTGCTATCATACTTAAGACCGGGGCGCCCTCCCGCCCACCCAAACGCAAGAGTCTCATATGATGTGACTAGAAACTCTTCAGATCTTTGGTTTTAGTGCAACCTAAAATGCTCAATATTGTACCGGGGCCCACACGGGGATCAATCTTGCCCTCCCACCCGCCCACATAAGCGAATCGGGGCGCCCTCCCACCCACCCTCATTGAAGCCTTTCTATTTTATAATGTTTTCTATAATGAGGCGAGCTGCTAAATCCGCCGAAGGCGGATTGTGTCGTCCTAGTATTGTTGAATCCTTGATGGTGGTGGTAGTAAAAGCGGCTGGTAACGGCACGAGAGTTGGCGGATAAAGGCCCCAATAAGGGCCGGCCGGAGGAAGAAGCGGCATGATGTTCTCAGGGCCCAGCCATTTTCCAGACGTTACAAATATTCAGCAATTTTGTCAGCCAGTACTGAAGAGGAGGCAGAAAAGAGCACTGACAAGAGCGGCTGAGGGCGGCCCCAGAAGAAATGGCGCTTGGAGCTGCTAGATCGGCTCTGCATTCTCTTTCAGAATTGAGCCTTCTGTTTCGATCCCAGGATACAAGCCAGGCACATGGGCAAACGCGCACTTTGCAGCCTAAACAGGGCCCCCTATGGCCGTCGTGTGGAATCCGCAATGCAGTCACGAAAGAAGGTGAGTCTGCAGTTGAAAAACAGCCCGAGGCAACTCAGAGTGTGCTTCACCCTGCTGAAGCTTGTGCGTCGATCACTCCAGTTGAGCTGCATTGTGTGCATTGTCCTGAGACTGTTATGACACGGGATGTTGATCTCGCCCTGTTTGTGTGTAAGTCTCAACTTCCGCTACAGTCAGATAGCAAATGATAGCTTTGCGAATTCTTTCACGACCTCATCTTTATGGCAGTGCTCAGAGAAGAAAGAAACAGAATTAGAAAGCAGTACTTTCTTGATTGCTTCCGTGTTTCTCAATACTGACAGAAACACACTGAAAGCTTACCAAATGCATTGCCCCAGATGCCGCTACCACCATGGGCAAGACAGAAAAGCGGGCGGTGCAGTTTCGGCCCTGCATAGACATTCATAAGGTAAGCAGACTGCATCGCTACTATTAGAAAGGTTGGTGAGGGTATAGGCGGCCAGTGAGAAGATCAGCATCCAACATGTACTGCTCGTGCGCCTGATTTGTTGAGCAGGTTCTACGGTAATCTCAGCTGAGTTGCCTCGGTGTCAAATCCTTATCACAAGCGCCAAGTGGCTTCAGCAGCTTGGTGAGCCATGATGTGAAGCTAAGTAAGGAGGTCCCTTGAAGGCCACCTTCAGATTTCGTGTCAGAGGCTCGCTCGCACGCCCTTTTCAAACCCATAATCTCTGTGGACGGCACTGTTTGTCAGCCAGTTCACCTAATGGTGATGCATTCCAAGAAGTCCTTTGCTTCGGTGGCGACTTTCTGCGTGGAATTGTCGGGCCAAAAGGTGTTTCGAAAGCTGTCAACACCCACTTTGAGCATCTTCGCTGCAGGGCAAAGTAAAGCAAATTGTGGGCTCAACTCTCAAGGACCTGGACGGCCCATCTTCGTCCGCGTCCGAGCCCGTCACCAACTTCGAGTCGGAGAAGTCAGCCGCTGAGTTTGCGTCTCTGTATCGAGAGGATGAACTGACAGGGGGCCATGTCATCATGCTAGGTAGGCGAGTTTGTAACACAGTTGGGCGAAGTCATTGTACTCATAAAAGGCTCTATACTTCTGCAAGGCTAATCTCATTCCACTCGGATGAGAGGCCCACATATTGCAGGCCTGGGCAGTTTACAATACCCTCAGCTTCAGCTGGTTACATGAATCAAAAGATGCTTTACGACACTTGCCGGCCTTGAATAGGGACCATGGCAGCGGCCTATGAATATCTTTTCAACTTTCAACAGAAGGTGGAGCTGAGGAATGCTCATTAATTTGTGACATTTTCTAGTCAAGGACCTAGTCTTGGAGTACGTATGTAGATGCACCCTCTCTTCTCAAGGAGCTGGTCACCTCTTGTGAGTAGACTTCCCTCCTTATATGAGCCCCATCATTGAGCGTTCGGCCTGGTTCAGGGCTTGCTTCATTCAACTGCTGCTCACCCTGATTGATCCTGTTTGTTCTTCAAGAACCTTAATGCTCAAAGTTGACAAACTTATGTTTCCCATTGTTCAGGGTGAAAGGAATTGATCAGGTATTGATGCTGATGTCGCTACAGGTGCCACCCCCGAGAGCCAACGGGCGGCGCTCGATGCGGTGCGAGCTTATCCCGGCGGGTTGCAAGTCGGCGGGGGCATCACTCCCGACAACGCAGCTGCGTACCTGGACGAAGGGGCCAGCCACGTCATCGTGACGTCGGTGAGGCCTTGCAATCCCACTTTCTAGCAGATTATTGGAAACGATGTTGACAGCGGACGAAGCTTCTGCTTTTCTATTTCCATCGACGACTTAAAGGATCTGTATTGGATGAACTTCGTTCCACTGCTCGTATTGGATGAACTTCGTTCCACTGCTCGTATTTCGCAGTTGCTCCTGTTTGCAAACCGTTGCTCTGAGCTTCTGCTTCCATGTCAAACCACGACCGCTTGAAATGTCGAGAAACCGGAAAGCCCTCTCCTCCACATTTAAGACCACCGCTTTCCTCGATCCTTTCCGCTCTGATCTTCGCAGTACGTCTTCCGGGACGGAACGGTCGACCGAGAGCGGCTGCAAAAGCTGCTGCGAGTCGTGGGGAGACAACGGCTGGTGCTGGACCTGAGCTGTAGGAAAAAGGTGAGAGCGCCGTTCTCTACTTTCCTCTTCCTGTGCCGTTCTGTACCTGGCCTTTCTGGCGCCGTTCTCTAGGTTCCCCTTCCTGTATTTCTTTCTTGCAGGTAAATCCGTCATACGAATTGGAAAAGGAGGTAAAGGAAAAGGACGAGCAGGAGGAGAAGGGTAGGCAAAGGAAAAGGGATCTCGGGATGAGGTTCTGGCAACGAACGCGCCTTACGGACAGTTTTCATTCTCGGGCCCCTTCAATTCGCACCGAAAATGTTGTTTTCGACGGAGTGTTCGATAGCCACCACAACGGCGGAGAGAAAGTATATCGTCGATTTTCACAAGTGCGCACCTAATGAATTGCAGACTGGCCGTGCAACATCTTGGGTGCGAAGTTAAGGTGCCCGAGATTGGATTGCTTCCCGTTCGTACGCAGGACGGCTTGTATCACGTGGTGACCGACCGGTGGCAGCGCTTCAGCGACCTGGCGCTGACGCCGCAGTCGATTGCGGAGCTGGCGCAGTCCGCGGACGAGTTCCTGGTGCACGGGGTGGACGTCGAGGGCATGAGGTGAGCCGTCGATCTGTGGCAGTAGTGGAATATCAGCCGTTCAAGTTTCAGGACCGTTTGGGAGTTTCCGGTGCACAGGTGGGACGTCGAAGGCATCAGGTCAGCCGACGATCCTTGGCAGTTGTGCGATTTTCAGCCGTTGATTGTTACGTCACAAAAAGGTGAGGATTTCTGGTTTAGAGAGGGAACGACTCGGGCATATGAGGTCAGCCGTCTATCCCTGGCAACGTTTCGATCTCAGCCGTCGATTGTGAGAGAGTGCTGAGAATCACTGGCACACGGGTGGACGTCGAGGGCACAAGGTGCGTGGCCGCATCCAAGCCGTTTACGGCTGGCAATGCGACCTGAGCGGTTAATTGAAGAGCTTATTTGAGGCGTTGGTTGACGGGCGTGCCGATCGCGACCGTCGGCCCGTCTTTGGGTGGCCAAAAAGCGCCAGGCGTGCCTGTTGCTGGAGCTGTTTTCGACATACCCGCTATTTCTGCCACATCGGATCTGTCAGCACCGAAATTACAGTGGGTGGAAGCCCATACGAAGCGGAGGTCCGTCGTACTTTTGCCCGCTCAGAAGAATGTGGTCGTTTCCAGTGGCTCTCCCTCTGAGGACGGCTGTTCTTCGTATGCGATCCGCGTTCTCGACCTGTGGAACTGGAAGGTTTGCTTCTAGCAATTTTTCATTCAATTCGATTCTGAGAGAAAATTTCTACAGCATTGTCGCGTAGGAATGAGAGGTCTCTTTTTTCTGACGTGTCCCTTTTTGCTGCGCAGGCTTGGCATCGACGAGGAACTGGTGTCGCTGCTTGGGGAGCTCTCGCCGGTGAGCTTATTCGTTTCAGGACCAGCCGAATGGCCAGATTCCTGGAATTGGCTCTTTCAGGCTACTGCCGATGTTCGGAGTCGTTTGGAGGTTTCGACACGCATGAATGTCACAGGCTGGCCCATGTAGAAGAGGATTGTTTTTCAGATTGGACTATAGCGGCTGCGCCTCGATAATATGCTAAAAAATCGCGAAAAGCATTTCTGGGAATTGCTTTAGCAACGCTTCACTTCTGCTTCCGAGGGCGAGGTTCGTGAGAGAACCGGGATTAACCCGTCTCTGTGGACACGACAGCAGAACTTGTGAAGTGCCCGCACCTTCTCCCGCATCGTCTCAAGCATTCATTTTCCTTCGACAGATACCCGTGACGTATGCTGGCGGCGCGCGCAGCCTCGCAGACCTCGAAGTCGTGAAGGCGGCTGGGAAGGGTCGGGTCGACATAACGGTCGGAAGCGCTCTAGATATTTTTGGCGGCGATTTGCCGTATCGGGATGTTGTGAATTGGCACCGAAAACAGCTGCGATGAGCCCTGCTTTTCTTTAGAAGGCTGCGATCCAAAGTGTTGCGCCAAGTAATACATCGTAGATTCCGAGTGACGTACTGACGGGCGAGCGAACTCAATATATCATACGCAACTTCGAGTCCTCTTACGCCGGTGCCTTGTGTGTTGCACGCACGGTCCATGATACGGATAAGGTAAGATTCGACATATTGCAGGCTGCCGGGCGCGCCGGCCATGTTCTCTATTCATATTTGCACGTACACTTCAGTCATAAGCACGGTACGTCGCAGATCGGCTGCACGACGTATAGTCGAAAAGAGTCGGTACTTATAGCAACTTGGAGGATTAATCTATAAACGACTATATTTTGCTTAACATGTCACGCAATTAAGCTAGTGCATCAACGAATGATGGCCCGGCATGATGTGAAGAGCCACAATGTACAAGTTGCCCATGCATTCCGATCAGGAGCGTAGAATTGCCTAAGTGCTTGTGACTAAGATTGAGCGCGCGCGGTCCGCCCCGGCGGTGCGCCAAAACTACTCACAGAAGACAGTCTAGTCTACACCTCTGTACGATGACTGGGCACATGCATGCATGTGCCTTTGGCAGGAGCTTGAATCTACAACCGCTCTCAAATTTCGCATGATCGCTCCGATGTCTAACTTCACATGCTACGAATTTCCACAAACATGATCAAGGGCAGGATAACATTGAAGGATCATAAGCGTTAAGCCAGTAACGAGTGTTTGATATAAGCCCCAATATTTATCTGATCGATAACTTTATCCGCCGGGTGCACTTATAATTGAGTACTTTCAATTGAAGAGAGACCTCAACACAGATGCTTCTTTTGCCATCTCATCTGAGGAACGTGGTCTCCGTTCGGAGTCCACTCGCAACTTGTCAGAGAGGCCCTTCTCGCCTTTGTCAATCTGCACGTGTCGAATGGATGGCGGAACTCAAATAGATAGTCCTTTCCTCTCGAAAACTCCTCGAGCACGATAATATACCTCGTTCACAGGCTGTTGAGGACATTAAATTTGGCGGAGCGTGTAAAAAAAAATCTAATCACAGTTGGAAAGGTGATCGCTGCAGTCTGCGGCATATCCCTGTAAGACCGTTACTGAGCCGCTTCTATGGAAGACTGATCGAGGCAACCAGCTTGCGATCGCTCTTTGGCACCAGATACAGAGGCTTTGAAAATGATCACACTACTGAAGTTAGCCGTGTGTGATTCCACTCCATTGGCTGGACATCTGTTTCCCATGCAGAAAGGTCAAATCAAGGCACCGCCCAGTAGACGAGCTAAGCATGTAGACTTACTTCGTTGTAGATCTCGTCGTTATTTTCGAAGTCGCCCTCCTTCCGCGGAAGGACGTGTATGTGGACGTGCGGGACAGTCTGGCCGGCTTGTGGACCGTCCTGCATGGACGAACTAGACAGGGTCATTCCAAGGTCTGTAGAGATTCGTACCGACGAAGCTCCTTCCAATTGTAAGCCGTGGCAGACACCTTTACTGCAAGGAGTGCCGTGATATTTAGAAAAATTTATTGCAGGGTCCGCCAGAGCGTCTAAGAATCTGCAAAGCTTCATTTTGCCAGACGCATCCCGGGCCACTTCTTTTACTCTCCTTGGACTTATTATTTCAAAAGCGCTCCACAAACTGTGCTTTGATCAGTAAATGAGTGACGGCAAGCATGCAGATATCAACCATTGGCACCGCCACGTCTGTGCTCGATCCTTTGTGGAAGCTTTGATGAGCACTCCTAGATTTGTATGGTGCTTGGAAGTCTCTATGGATGGTCTTGCTTTCTGACCTGCATTTTTCATCGCAGGGCCAAGACCCTTACTATACTGCACATCGAACCTTCCCCTTGGATGACTTATGCAATCCAGGTGCTTGCCTGGATCGCATAGGTCAGCGATGATGCTTTGAAGAACTTCTCCAACTGGTTGCCAACTTTCTGAGCCGTCAGCCACAGATCTGCGACCTGCTCGCTGGTCAGATCCGCAAATCTCCTTACTACCTGCTTGGGGATGATCAGAACATGGCCTGCAAAAGAACAATAATTGGTCGAGCAATGTCATGTATGGTCTGAGGCAACAGGCAACAGCATTGAAGGCAGGGCAGGGCAAAACTTCACAAAGCTTCGTAGGCAACTCCAACAAACACCTTAGACACCTTGTCTGTGAGAAGATCTGAGCCTGCCAACTTCACATTCCATACAATACACTTCATCTGGTAGCTCTCTAAAAACTTGGCAGGCTGGAAAGTGTACCTGGTACAATTGGCTTCAAATTCACGAGCGCGCAGGACAGCTTGGACTCAAAGAACACCTGCTCGCTGGCCCTGATCTTGTAGGGACCAAAGCAGATCTCATCAGCCTCTCCGGTCGATGTGCTAGCTGCCGAGTTGCTAGCATCTGCAGCCATTTGATAAGTCCTTCTGGTGATTGTAATCTGTGAACTATGGTCTAGTTGTTGTCTGCACAGAGCTGCTGGCCAAGGCCCTTGCAGGGGGAATCTTTGATGAAGGGGTTTCAGCAGGAGCTCAGCTGGTTTCTCCTGCTTGGGAGCGGTGGGTTTGATCGCAGAGTGGTGGCAAATGTAGTGCAGCGAACCTCCTGCAAACACGTTGGAAGGTGTTGCCAAATGCTGCCTTCCTGCTGACAGATACCGCACGGCGGAGGCAGACTGTGCCAATGCAGCTGCTCTCAGACCAGGCATTCGTTTGACTGGGTTGCCCTTTGAAACACAGAGCTCTGCTTTCGTTGCCGATTTCAGGCGGCAGGGTCGCTCAAAAAGGCGCTACTACAGTAGTACTAGGGCAAGCTAGCAATCCAGCTCCAACAATCAGGATTGTTGAACTTTGGAAAATTTCATTTTCAAAATTAGAACAAAGATCTTCTTCCTCCCGAGAAGGTGTAGAAAGCGGCTCGATAGAAGGATTATTCAGTCGACTCAGACAGCCAACTCTCTCCTCCTGCAAAGTGGTCAAGACCTGATTCTGAAGTGGTTACCGTGTCGTTCGGTTTGCATGTGGAGCTGCCAGCAGCTGCCAGCTCCTCTGTGTCAGCAATCTAGCCTCCAAACGTTGATCAGGAAGGCGCCAGCAGCTGAAGGGACAAATGCAGCGGGCAGTATTCGAGGACGTCTTGAGCCCAGCTGAATGTCAGGTGTGCTGCTCAACCACGGGTCAACCACACCACAATTGACTTGGGGTATCTGACGGCTGTGCCAGCCGCATTGGCGTTGTGCCTCTTCATGCCAGCTCGAAGAACGGCACACTGGCATCTTTCATTCTTCTTGGTGTGTATTTCAGAAAGAAAAACACAAAATGCTGCCAGAAGGGCAAGTGAGGCTATCATGCTGACCTGGCGCAACTCGGTTGCAGCTCTGGCTGGTACTGCAAGCAGCATCTATCAAAGGAAAAGAACGCATGATTGCTTCACTGTATGCAGGAACTGATCTTCATCCTCAAGAGCTGTGGGGTGATCGGCTATCGCCCACACGTCATCTCGTGCACACCCCAGGACCTGATTGCAAGCAACAGTGCCCCGCTGGTTCTGCCCCTCTTGAACGCAGCTGGTAAGCAGCTCAAGAATGTTTGCCCCATTGAGCCTTTTGTTGTTATTTTCATCAACATGGTGATGACTGGCATCAGATGGTAGTTTAGCGCCAGCTTGTTATTTTGCCTGGCTTGTTTCCAAGTCCCTGAGGAGCTCCCCTTGTGAATCCAAGCAGGTTGAGGATTTGAGGTGTGACAACCGTGCAATACATTATCTTCTTGTTGTGCAATCTTTTGAGTTCGTAAGATCCTCATCTGGTCACCAAGATGCTAGTAGGTCGAGTGTCTTCTTGCGGGACACTTTTTATGGGCATGCTTTGTGTAATTTAGTTGGGAGCCGATTTTTCTTGCATGGTCTTGCGCCTAATCGAAGGGCTCTAACCTGCTTGTTTCTTTGACTGCATCTTCTTCAGGATTGACCGGGAAATTCTGATTGCATTGAACCCAACTGCAAACTCTGGGAAACCAAGTTGCCAATCCAACTTGATGGGAGTAAACGGGTTGAACGCCTATTTGGAGGAGTAAAAAACTTGTTTCCTTTCCAACCTGTCAAAACACAGAAATTCTGATGTATCTGATCTCATCCGAGCTGACATTATATCCTGCCTTTATCTTCAGCTCGGGTTCAGCAACTAGTGGAGGGCCGCTTTGGGAAGGAGTGTGAGCTGTTCACAGAGTTCGTGGGTCTCATAAGGTGAAACCGTCACAACTCTTCATGAAGTCAACTCTTTGGGGAGCTTTCCCCCAAATCGCGAACTGGTTTCGGCCTGAGAAACTTTGAAGCCTCAACAATATCTGACACATGTTTCTTTGGTCACCCCTCCACCTGCCTCAATTGAAGGAGTGTAAAAGTTGACTCCTCTGGCAAATGAAGCCAAGCTCGTTAGTGTTTGATGAGCGGACTGACTTGAAGAAATTGAAAATCGTATTCTTGGTTTGCAGCTGGAAGACCGGGGCTAGCATTGGGTGGCACCATGACAGTAACCGGGAGTACCTTCGGCAACGGCACTACTCGGTGAGGGTTCTGCGTCTTCATGAGATTGTTGTGATCGGTTTGGGAGACTAGGTGTGGCACATTTGAAGGCCAAGAGAAAGAAGTTGGACAGCTTGCAGCCACGCACAGGGCAACTAGGAGTGTTGTGTCTTTCTTGAACAGGATGTAAGGAAGATGATACAGGAAGGCAGTCTTCAGGCCAAAGGAACGTGCCAAGGACGACGAAGAGTAGATTCATCAAGCAATGCAATTGTTGCGCGCAGCGAATGGGCCCTCGGCCGTACTATATCAAGTTGTAAAGCTCCTTTTCTCAACTCCTCTTTGATCAACGGTCGCTTCAGCGAGAGACTTCGCTTTCGGAGTAAGTGGTGTGTGATTTGCAAGTCATATCTCAAACAAGCCTCGTGACTGACACGAGCTCACCCGCCCTTTGTCAGGCAGTCTGCTACTTGAACGATCAGGGCACAGACTTCGCGGGTGGGACGTTCCGCTTTCGAGACGGCCAACCAGACTCTGTGGTTCCTCTCCCAGGGGTGAGTTGCCAAGCATTGAAGTGGAAGCTTGAAAAGGTCGCCTTCCCTTTCAGACGAGGAGTCGCTTATTGTCCTCTAGAATATCCAGAGTGATTGTCCACCTACGTCCTAGAATAAAGTTCTAGAAGCCTTTCTGAGGAAAGCATCGGCTCAGCTTGTTGCGGCTAGATTAATTCAAGGTCTTGATATATTATCGAAGCATAAGAACGACCTCTTAGACGGAGCCGATGCGATTCGGCTGCCGCTTGTGAAGCGCAAAGAGTGGCACGTGGCAAGGGACGCGTTTCCGACAACTTCACGTGTCTGGCCCCGTCAGGATCACCGTTGTCATTTGTACCGGAAACAAGTGAAGCTGCACTCGTTGAAGGGGCACTTAAGCCGCATTTTCCAAAGGCCCCTTCAAAGTATTGGAGATTCTGATAGGCGACACTGTCGTTCATTAAAAAGGCCGTAGCCCACAAAAATCGTCCAATCCTGGAGAATCCTAAAATCCTGCTGCCATTTGCAGTTGCTCGTTCGCGATTAAGCTTCTTCTTGACTCTCTTTTTCAGCGTGTCGTCGCCTACTCGTCCGGGGAGGAAAACACCCACTCGGTAGACCCGATAACCAGGGGAGAGAGAATCACGCTCGCGCTCTGGTTCACGACCGATCCCGACCACTCCAAAGACGGGGTCCTCCTACCCCAGCTGCAATCCGCGCTGCAACGAGCACTCTCATCCGCTCCGGGGGGGTCGTTCAAAGTGGCAGCTCCCTACCCTATCGACCCCTTCGACACGTTCTTCGTCGAGCCTGAGGCGTGGTCTTGTACGACGGACTTGCACTTCAACGCTTCGAAAGAGTCTGAGGGAGTCTTGGGGACAGATCCTGATGCCGAGAACGGAAGGGATGCCGTTCTGCAGAAGGAAAGAACCGGGCGGAACGCGTTGGTGAAGCGAAGCCGCCTGGGCTCTCCCCCCACAGATGACGCAGAGAGGGGGAGAAAGAAACGAGCGCGATTGGTTGGCGGTGCCGACACTTCTCTCGGACATGCTTTCGAGAGGGGGTCCGAACCGGACGGGTCGGGAGGCGGGGTGCAGATTTCTGCCCAGGGGGAGAAAGACCTGCGGTGCGAGCGCTTTAGAGAACTAGGGCTCCGCTTCGCTTTAGAAAACGGCTTGGGGCGGGCCGAAGGGTCGCCGGATGCACTTTTGCGGCCAAAAGCCGTTCAGTCAGGGGAATGGCGACCACTAGGGAACTTTGCAACTGAAGCACCGGTGGCGGCTGGGGTCTCATGGGACGCAGGGAACGCCCCCGATGTCAAGACGGCGGAAAATTCGGTGGTCGGAAATGGATCCCCCCGGCGGTCTGGCTACCGGCCTTCCGAAGCGGCAGACGGGAGTGTGCGGCTGCATTGGTTGGATGGAACAGTGTTCGAGACCGAGTTCCGAAGCAAGATGCACGCTTTGCAGGTGGGTCATTGGGTTTTGGCTTGTAGACTCTCACGACAAGCTGAAAGAGTAGAGCAAGCGGATTTCAAGTTAAATCTCAGATCTCGTCATGCGTAGCTTCGATGCAAAAGGGCCTTGAGAAGGTCAATTTCGGTTCTGTCATGTGCATACTTGTGAACATACTTCGTGGACTTGCATGGGCTAGTGTCTCAATTACATCTCCTTCAGAGTTGACTGCTTCGTTTGCATCGCCTCTTCGACTTCTTGGCGCTTTGAGTATTTGAAAACTTGGTTCTTCACAAACAGGGAAAAGATCATGCGAGGTGTACGTAGCCCGCAGATGCGTCTTGCTTACAGTCATTCTACGACGAGAGACCTTGCAGCCCGTCAGACTAACGACAACCTTCAACGCGATTTCACATTCGCTGGAAGTTGCCGAGATTTACCTGCTCGTCGAACGACTCATCACTTTCGCTCTTCGCAGAAGACAGGTGCGCCCTTGATCGATGAGTCTCGTCGTTTGTCGCAGGTGCTGTACCATTTCGTTGAGTGCGTTGGCGAAACCCCTTCGCCAACTGCTGCGCCCCTTCAAGACGGAAAGACGACGGCCTTGAACATGAAGTCCGTTGTTGACGAAGGTTGTCCGTGCAAGGACAGGCCTCCCACGAAGAACTTGGAGATTGCAAGCCTTCTGCGAATGAGAGGTCGGGAGGCAATGCAAATGTGGGAGGCTAACATTCGTTCGAAGTGGCACCGTTTGCAGAAAGTACTGCAACAATGGTCAAGCTTGGGATGCTTCACTAACGATGATATCGAGCCAGCCGTACTCGAGCACATCTGTTGACACTCGGAGCTGGTATTCCGATGTTTGCATGCTAGGTCAGATGCATGTTTACATCATCTTGAAACCCCTCGGAGCGCTGCGATAATGCTCAGGCAATTGCATGGTGTTCTCAAATCCAGTCTCAAAGCCACTGGCTGGGTCGCATGATTAGATATAGAAAGGCTGAGCTTCCCCACTCAATTCATGTTCAAGTTGACAGTGAGAATTAGAAACCTCATTCGTTCAAAGATCATATCCGTTGTTCAGTGCCACATGCATGTGCCACGTGCAGATATTACCACTGATCTAGATTAGGCAAGGTGGCCGTGCAGCCGTGGTGTTGTTTTGGCGCCGCGAGGGAGTCGATCTAATGATCACCGCGTCGTGGCAGACCGGTGCGTGCATGCATGCTCTAGCTTGGCATACGCAAGCTTCCGTGTACGTACCATAATATGGGTGTCACTGTTATAGATAAGGAGCGGCAGACACCATTTTGGGGCACCGTTTTTGACGGTTGAGATTGACGGTCAAGGTTATCGGATTGGGAGGGCACAATGGCCAGAGTGGAAGAGTGATTACCCTAGAGGATTACCCTGCCGAGGGAAACTCTGAGCAACCACCCGGTACCCTACGCAGCCTTTTATAGATGGACAAGAAGCTCACCCGGTCTGATAAGAAGGCCCGGGGCGGGTGGTACAGTACATTCATACATATGGCCGGGCCTGCTCCAATCAGTCCACCCGACATATGATGCTGATCCGACTAGCCAGCCAAAGATCATGTCAACCTCCCGTCTGCAACGGTTCAGTGAAGGAGCTAAATTCTGCCAAGGCCCGGGCCTGAAAGCTCACTGAGCCTAGTTTAAAGGCTCAGAACTGGCAGCCGCCTGGCAGCCGCGTCGAAGTATAGAAGATTCTTCAAAGCTGAACGCGTCCTGATCCGATCCGAAGTTTGGCAGCCAGGCTATCATTCAGGCTATCAGTCAGCTACATGTTGACGCACCTCAGATTATCAGATGATGGTCGCAACTTTTGCGTTCAGTGGGCGGGTGAAGCAAAACCCAGGAGTCACCCGGCTCTCTCCTGGGTCCTCTAACTGAATCCCTGAACCAGAAATTGCTGCACTCCATACCCAAACCCACACGAGTCACGCAGCTACCCGTCTCCCGAGGCGCCTCTAATAGGTAGCACACTCAACTCTGGCAACTCTAGCTTTACGACGTAGCTTTCACAAAGATAGGCACCCGGGGGACGGGTGGGCTTAGTTTGGGGGTTAGGGTGGGCACGGGTGCGGAGCGGGTCATTGTTTAGGTTAGGTTTTCAGTTGAGGTGCCCGGGACTCCCGTATCTTGGTGAAAGTTGCCAATATGCACGCTCAGGCTGACGCACTTGGTTGATCGAACGGCTTGCGTTTTGCCAACTGGCATATATAGCATCGGATGGTCAACCTTGGCGTTAAATTGTGCGACGGATGTCCGTGCGATGTCTTGGACGCCCACGATGTCCGTCAGATGGATAGCGTCTTCGATCGGACCGCACACAAGCAATCCTCGTTCATCGCACGGACGGCGAGGCCTCACAATAATCCACGAACTCTGATATTACTATGTACAGAGCCACGTGGAGAAGCTCAGGCTCGAGGTCGTTGGTGGATCCCTCTGCATGAGGGCCTACAATTGCCCGCACTGGCATCTTCGTAGATCGGTACTACCAGTAGCAAGAAGGTGGAACACAAGTTGCAACCTCAAAGCACTGGTAGTAGGTACTACAGCACCTTCGCCTTTAAGAAAGCGTGAAACCTGCTGAAAGTTAAGGCGGAGAGTTCTGCACGCGCACCTCCGCCGTCTAAACATGGGCGTCTCCTCTCCTTACACCGACTATCCAGAAATCTTTAATATTTGCGATGAGAGTTGGATACGAGAAGGTACAAAAGTCAAATGGAGGTTGAGCCAGCTGCCAAGCCCTTCAGAGAGGTTGCACCGGCTGGAAAGACTGGCCTTCTGGAGACTTCTGAAACGTGCTGCTCACCGCAGGCCTGATGATTTGAGGAGTGAAGAAGCAATCTGCTGGAATATCAGAGAGCATCGGAGGGGCAGCAAGAAAAGCTGTGACAAGCAGCGCTGTTCAGACCATTGTGACCTAAGAACTTTCTTGGGATGGCCAAAGGACATTCCACTGCATGATCCGCAGTCCTTCAAAAAATTGGGCATGGTGCATAAGGACATTCGAGAGACTTTTGTTGACGCTGTCTATGAGTTGGAATATCAGGACGTATCGGCTGGTCCATCGCCCCCAGTGTCCAGCATTTGGTGTCTTGGAAAGCTTGTGGAGCCTGGTAAGTTGCGTAGCTCAGATACACTTGTCGTGTGTTGATAGCTATTGATAAATCTGCTTGTTGCATGAGGAGCGTTCTTGCTTTGCAAGAAGGTGCAACTGTATTTTGTAGAGTTCGTACTTGCAGTAAGAAGGGCATTTACAATGTGTGCAGTCTCAAGGTAGAAGAAGGGAAATAACATTTCCTTCCTTTTATATTCAAGGAGGTCAGCTGAAGAGAGCCTCCGATAACCATTCTTTAGTTTCTTATCCTGCTTGCCACAAGCAGAGTGTTGTGCATTTTGGGCATAAGCTCTCCCTAGGTAAAGTTAGGAATCTTAGAAACTTGGATAAGCAACAGCTCGTCACTGTGCGCTTGAGCCTGTCATGTTTATGTCAAGTCAATCAGTTTCATGAGTCAGTTCTGAATACAACCACCCATTGGCCTGATTAGGAGCCTGACAATGAAGCTTCATTTAATTTTGAAATAATGTTGCATGTCAACATTTGGCTGCAGTGCATCCCGCATCTGCCGGTGGCAGTCTCCATGTTGAAGTGCCCCCAAGAACACTCAGATGGCGGGTTTCAGCAAGATCTGGAGTAGATCCAGATACTTCATCGTCAGTTTCCTGGGTGAGTTGTCAAAAGACGTGAGCGATCCAGTAGAAGACTGTGTAATTCAGGGCCTCATGCATAAGAGTGACCTGCAAGGGGTTCAATCATCAAGTCGAATGGAAAGAGCTGACTTTTGAGCAATTTTGAGGCCGGACCTTGTAGCTGCAAACGTTATCCCTCAGTTGTTGACCTCTAGTTACTACTTGAGTCTTGACTCTTTTGGAGGTGTACAGCCAACCTGGAACCATATTGACATGCTACAAATCTCAAACATGCAGACTTATGTTCGGTCACTTAACCTGGATTTGACAAAGGCCACTCTTCAAGCCTTCTTGCCACAGGGACCTACTCACGAGTCCTGTCTCTGACTCGAGTTTCTCCAGCAGTGGGCGAAAGACGGGACCGGAATCGAAGCCCCCAGACTCGTTTTCCCTGTTGGTGAGCACGATCCGCAGGTGCAGCCACATGTTGGCTGCCTTGGCACGCCGCCCTTCCATGGTCCACAGAGTCTTACGCCATTCGGGGTGAGTATGAGGACACATTCAGAATTGTAGGGTCCATTACAATAAGCTTGGACTCTGTTCACAGTGGAGCTCTGATTGGTAGGCAGAAGTAGTCCACTTTGAGAGTCGGCGGGGCGCCTTTCGGGTGTAGGAGCTTTGCAGTAAAACATCGGTTTTTCTGTATTTTCCGCTGGTTCTAAGAGGCTCATTGGATACAGACAAGTGGACAGAATCGTCAAAGTCCGCACCACGGCGCTTCAGAAGTTGCTTCAAAGGGAAGGGACGCAGGATTTCAAACCATATTGACTGAGGATACTGCTCGGGGGCACCAACAAAACCAGAGAACTAAACCAAGGATCGACACGCTCTATACTTGTAACCAACCTACCCGTCCCCCGGGCACTTCCTTCATCAGCATGGCCAGATGTTCAATATCGTTTGGACGGCTCCCCCTGATACTCACGGAGTATCTGAGCCACTTGACGGCCCCAATCCGCTTCCAGCTCCCAACTATAAATCACTCCCTTTGACCACCGTCCAGCTGACCTATTGTAGTTGCTTAGTTGGTTGTAGTCATCCTTGTCAACATCTGTAACCCAGAGTATTTTTGATGGGGAGGTCCAAACCTTGGTCTTTGACAGCTTCGTGCGCCCGCGCCCGCAGGAGGTGTATCTCATGGGCGGGTGGAACGGCACAAGGTGGCTCGGCTCGGTGGACCGATACCGGCCGTCCCGGAACGAGTGGGAGGAGGTCGCGCCAATGTGGGCGGAGCGCTATCATGCGGCTTCGGCAGTGCTCGGCGGGATGGTGTACGTGTTCGGGGGCCGGGGGTGCCAGCTGTGTTACGATACGGGTGAGGGTCGAAGATTGTAATTTGGCTGTAGCCGTTGTTGAGATGTCAGCAGGGAGGAAAGGGGTTGGCGTTATTTGGCGAGTAGGAAGTTGCGGTTAGGAAGTTACGATTACTCAGAAGCAGAGTGCGCCTTTGAAGGACAGCTAGCAACGCTTTCAGATTCTCGCAAACTTGCTGCGCCGCTTCAAGGACCCCGCTTTTCGTTTCCACGTCAGCAAAACCCATCTCAAATACAACGGTTCCGAGAAGCGCTTACTCATTAAAAGTTTTTGTTTCGGCCAGCACTCGTTGTGACTCGGAAAGTCCGATAGAAACTTCACAGCGTCTCAGGCATCTTTCGTCACCGTTTGTCAGGATACCCTTTTCTTTTTACACCCACCAATAGCCGTCAATTGAACCTGCATCTTCCAACGCCACTACTGTGCAGTCGAGCGGTACGACCGCGCCAGCAACTCGTGGGCGAATCTCTCGAAGATGAAGATTAAGCGGCGCGGCCTCGGGGGCGCCGCCGTGCAGGGCAAGATCTACGCCGTGGGGGGGAGCGACAGCTTTTCCATCTTTGCTGACGTGGAGATGTACGACCCCGCCGCCGACAAGTGGCTCTCCGTGCCGCCCATGCTCGACGAGGTGTGCGCCTTGCGGTCGTCTGTGCGTTTCGGAAGTTTGTAATCTGAGAACGTCCGCTTTCGTATTCCGCCCCTAAGAGATTTGGCATGCTCAACACCCCTTCAATCAACGGTTGGGACATGTTTGGAAGCTGAGCCAGGGATGATAGCTAATATGGATTCTATGAAACCGTTCATAACCTGCCCGGGTCCTTCGAGTCCTACTGCACTAAGTTCAAGCGGATACTTGGAAGCACGGGAGGTACCGTCTTTGCCAGATGTGGGTCAAAATGAACCGGACAGTCTGCCCTGTACTCCATAGTCCATCTTGCGTACGTCGCATTGCAGAATTGAAAGACGTTGTCGGACGGTTTGCTTGCAGCGCTTCTGTGGGGCTGCTGCGGAGATGCACAGCTCGCTGTATGCGCTCGGAGGCTTTGACGGGCAGCAACTTCTTCCGTAAGGCGCCTGCACACAGCTTGTACCCTGAACGCCCAATTGGCAATTGCTGGAATCTCGTTTCTGTCGCTTTTCTGGCGACCGAGGAGACTGGCTATCCTCCCCGTGCGGGGAGGACAGCAATTGCGTTGAATCAGTCTCCCCGGACGTATCGGGCCGTTCTTTGTGGGAGACACTGCTAGTCCAGCTGTGAAGGGAAAAAAATAAATAGACCTGAACAGTATCTGATTGACCCGTTGAATCACGCTGGCTTCTTGATTGCTTTGCTGCTTGGTTGCATCGCTCTTACTCATCGTTCACAACTCCCCATCTTCGAGCTACATTTCTGAAGTGTCTTCTGAATATGTCGAGTAACCATTATGCTTCTTGTGTAAGCACGTCTGTCAACGACCCGTATCCTCTTCGCAGGACCATGGAGCGGTTCGATCCTCGCGAGGGCTACTGGGTGCGCGCTCCGTCCATGTCGACCAAGCGGGGGAGCCTGTCCGCAGCAGTGTACAACAACAACCTGTAAGCTATGCGTTTCCGCTTTCGGCTGCAATAGCGAAGTTCCCCCGAACTGACGCCTGACAACCTTCCGGGTGCCGCTGGCGGCCCTCTCCTGCTCTTTCTGACGCAGAATTGGTAAAATAGAAGCCCTGCCCGCTTGATTCATTTTTGTTGTTGAATCTTGTCATGCGATTGCCACTAGCAGGCTACGATCAGTTGGTGTTGGCTTCAGGGCGGTTCATTCGGCTGACCCGGCTGCTCTCTTCAGGTTCGCCTTGGGAGGTTTCGACGGGGACCTCGTCTTGAATTCTGTGGAGTCGTATGAGCCGCGCATGAACACGTGGAAGCTGGTGAGTGGCTGAGGGTACATTGCCTCTACGACGTCGAGGGAGACGACTCGGATAAGATTGGTACTTCCGTTTCAACGGCGATAGGCAGCCGAAGTTTTGACAGCCCTGCTTGATCACTCGGTGTGTCCTGTCCGTTCAATATCACTCTGTCCCCGGGATTCGCTTTCAGCTCTATCTTCCGGGTCTTTTTGGCTTGCTTTTCAAAAGAGGACACGTTCGCTTTGTTACTGCTTTGAAGGAGTGCCGAGCGGGCTCATATTGCGGACTGGGTTGTTTAAGGTCCAGCGGAATCGATTTCTAAGTCCACTCTCCGTGGTTGATTCGAATATGAATCCGCCGTTGATAAAAGGCAGCAGTCCATTGATGCTAAAGCAGACGTCTGGGAAAAAGCTCCTGCACTCGTTTGGGTAGTCTAAGACGCGAGGAGGGCAGATTGCTTTATAACAGATCTTCGTGTCGGAGGGAGAATGGATCGCCAGGAGCTTTTATCGGCGACCTAGCGTTTCCTTGTAAAGGTATTCCAACCACCGTCACTCAACGCGCAGCGGGTTTCTGGAAACAGTTTTCAACCGTTGGAAGGTTTTGAATCCTAGAGTTGTCCTTTCGTTGAAACGCCCCAGCCAAAAATCGCTAGATTTAGGAGCTTCTAACCGCTGCTGACAAATCGTAACTCCCTGTTGCTCTTCAGGTCCCCCCCATGCACACGCAGCGTGCGTCCGGCGCATCGGTGGTCGTCGACAACGCGCTCTACTTCATCGGCGGCGTCGACGGAGAACTGGACGCGGAGTCGGTAAGCGCTCGGGAGGGCGGGTGTGGAGAATAGCGTACAAATTTCCTGACTCCAGGAAATGTTCCCGATCTCGGGACCGACCGTCACCGACGACACCTGTACGACTCCGCCATACTAAAACAAAGACCCTAAGCCCTTACGTTTGCATCGAACGGCTCCGATCGTTCATTTCTTTTCACCGGGTACTCGCATGAACCTCGCACACATTGTAAGAGGGGGTTCCATCCCATTACAGATCTGAACCCCTATGGTTGTTTCCTGAGATCCGAAATGTCCCGAGATCCGGAGATCGAGTTCTATACGCCATTCTCCACACCCGCTCTCCTCGGCGCTCTTAACCTTGCACTTGCTTTTCCTGCTACTTAGCCTCACCAAAGGTCTTCCGGTCGGTTCTTTGGACTTGCTGATGTGGACTGAGAATCGGAGGTTTGTTTTGGCCTTGGTGCCACAGCCGCTTTGTCCTGTTTGCTCGCTGCACGTCGCCGCTCTCCGCTGTTTCTCTCTTTTCACGCCGTTCCTTCTCGATTGTCCGGAAGCCGCCTGACTCCTCTTCAAGGCAGATAAGCATTTCTAACGATGCACTGCTGGCATTAACCCAACTTGTCCGCCCTTCCTGCCACAGGTGGAGCGGTATACGCCCGAGGCGGGGTGGCAATTTGTGACGACGCGGAGCAATTCCTGCAAACGAAGCTGCCCGGCCGTCGCCGTCCTGTAGACCGTTGCAAGAGCTCTCAATACATGTTTGACGCGCTGTTCGAGAATGGTGTATATGATTCCAAAGATATGAAGAGTATCTCTTGTAAACGGTCAACCTAGGATTTTACGTTGAAGAGCTCTGTTGCGCTACAGTGACAACGCCTTGTCGAACTCGAAACTGGACCTGGTGTCTGTGCGTGCAGATGCCGGACATAACTGAATGCAGATGCCGGACATGACTGAATGCAAGAAACCGATCATCGTGTTTGTGTGGAAGTTCAATCGACTTTTCACTAGCGGCCCGCTATCTCCTTTTGATTTACCACCTAGCTTCGGTCCCTTCTAAAAAGCCACGGCTTCTTGCAGACATCAAAATCGTTGCAGTGCCGCCCTGCAACAGCGGCCTCACACTTCCTGAACAACATGGTCACCAGTACTGGGGAGACCTGCCTCACCGGATCTGGAATCTGGGGCGCTTTCAATCGACCTGCTTGGACCTGCTTTCGGAGTTGCTAGCAAGAGACGACTTCGGGCAGGGAGCAGTTCGAGTGAGCCTGCTTGCGGGACTGTTGAAAGCGTGGCCCCTTCAGGGATACGACCAGCCCCGGTACTTTAGCGAACGAAGCGATGTGCGAGTGCTCTGCAAACATGCTGACAGCGGTTGAGTTGGCGCCGAGGAACGGCGAGTTTAGAGAATGGAACGAAAAGCAGAGAAACGAGCTTGTGGAGTGGCTCCTGGCTGTGCTGACGTGGCAGCGCTTGCACGACGTCGCAGAACTACCGCCGGAGTGCTGTCAAACCAGCCTGGGTGGCGATCTACGGCCAGTGCTTAGGGACCAGTTCGGGGGTTCGGAGTAGACTTGCGAGAAGGATGCAGAAAAGATTCAAGGAGCTCGTGGCGAGTCCTGAGGCGCGGACCTTGAGTCCAACGTTGCAGAGCACCATGAAAGTCGTTGGCGAGGTGATGGACGAGCACATGTGAAGGAGCGGGACGGCGGGGGCGGAGCGTCTGCAGCTGTGGTGCAACCCCCTGATCGAAGGACGGCTTGGCCCTGCTGACGTCAGCGGGAGGTGGGTCGCAGGTGCGGCCGGACAAGGTGGCGGCTCTTCTCCAGCCCAGGAAGAAGGCTGACGTGTTGCGCGCCATCCAGGCCATACGGTCAGTGCTCGAGGGGGCCATGCTCTTCGCGAGTGACCGGAAATAAGGTTGCGCTGTGCCGCGAAGTGAGGTACAAAAGTGTGATTCGAGGGAGGAATTAGATGTTCGTGGAAATTTGTCCTGCGTATGTAACAAGCTTATTTTGCACTAACCTGCGGAGTCAGTCTCGGTAGCAATGGCTCTAATGAGCCGCTCAAAGTTCTTCCTTACTCAATTCTATCAGGCCCCAACCAGTCAAATAGATAACTTATTAGTAACACCAATGGGAGACACAAAGGTAGAAACCCGTGTGTTTCGTGTACTCATACGAATTCTTGGGATTGTTCGTAGAGTCGATTGAGACTGATTTCGTGACCTTTCCATTTGTTACTAGAATGACTCGAACATTTGCAACTTGTCAGTCTTAATGATGTAGTTATTGGTTGATTTCATGGGCGAAAGCACCCAGGGCTCCTCGACTCATGCCCATGACCAAGATACTACTGGTAAAACTTGCCCATGCCGGGAGGCCCTTAAGCACTTTAAGCACGCCAACGGTTGAAGTAACTAGCTTTTTTTTAGATGAGATGCTGCCTAGGGAGTCCTTAGCTCGTTTCTTAATCGGGCTCATGAATCGACCCATCATGGGCCCCAAACAAAATAGGTATCAAACTGTCACTAGCGGCGGCCCGCCAGCCGCACCCTTTCAACCTCAACTCATCAGAAGCTGTAATATTTAACCTCATGAAGGACGGGTGAAGGACCTGGATGATGCTTCACCCTACGAATTCCATTCCACTTGTAATTGGCTGCAAAGTGGAGGCGCCCGACCCAAACTCGCGGGAAACTCAGGAAGCTCGCCAGTGGGCCTGTCAGCCGTTGGGCGTCCGACGTACCAGGCGGGCATATGTACTGTGCCGGCCGGGGCGGTGCACGTTGGGGCCGCGCGGCGCGCGGCCCGTGTGAGGCCCGCACCCAACCCAGCCTCACAGATTTTATGAGGAATCTCTCATATTTACCAAGTCCGGCAATTGGGAAGTAAGCCATAAGTCAATGGCAAAAGTTCGAAATCAGTATGAGAAATTCAATAGAGTGTATGAAGAATTTGGCTGCCGCCGGCGCGGATATGTGCATCCGGTGTGCTGCCGCCCGGCGCTCAGCAACATATCCACAGCGAGGTATCTGCGCCGTCCGATCGGCAGTGCACTGCTTAATATCGACCGTGCAGGACGGCCGAAGCGACCGTTTTGACCCACAAAGAATTGCGCGCCGCGACCGTGTGGATTGCAGTACATAAGGGCGGCGCCGCTTATTGGAGGGGGTGGGGTGCTGGTCCGCGACGGGTGCCACCAACACTGCAAGTCCACTAACATTAGGGTCTCGCACACCGCCCGCCGGCGAGCAACCGGGCCCTCCCTGTGACATTAGGGTGTGGCGGTCACTTTATCTTAGGTACTTCCCTGTGAGAACTGCCCGGGGACTCAAAATCACCATAAGGCCTGAACAGATCCTCCATACCGAACTGGAAGTTTCGTCATTGACTTATGGCTTACTTCCCAGTTGCCGGACTTGGAGAGATTCCTCATAAAATCTGAGAGGCGGCTGGGTTGCCGCACCAGTGGGGATGGCGCAATGACAGAATGCCGCGGAATTCAGAATGCCGTCGATCCCCTTTGGGCGAAAGCCAAGTCTTTTGGAAGGCCGTCAATGGCATAGTCGGCGTTCAGACGGCCACCTTATACGCGATGGAGCCATCAAGCCGCCTATACCAAGGTCAGCCTCTGCCGGAACATCCCGTTTTTGCCAAACGTTCACCAAATGTCCCAGACTACACGGTTCTACAACGCGGCTCGGGCCATACCGTTACCAGAGCAATGATGCCATAAATTATAATGACAAGCTCCTTCCCAGACAAGGGCCGGGGCACACACAGTGACACACACGGATCCGGTATAAAAATGGGGGAAAGCCAGTTCTCTCTTGATCTAGCGGCTTCCCTGTTGTTCTGGCCTCCTGCTGTCGAATGACACTGACAGAGCTGAGAGCGAGCGGGCCTTCAGGGAGCTGCGGGGTAGATTGGTGTGGCTCAGGGTTTCAGCTTGGCCGGCCTGTTGTGAACAGAAACTGGCGTTTTGTGGACTGCTGTGGTGGCGCATCCCTGAAGCTTTTCTGAGAGTGTGGACCAAGTAAGTGCAACCTGGTTGCCTCTAGATGCAGTCATCGTTGACGTAAAATGTGTCAGGCAGAGAGTGGCTCCGCCGCATGTTTCCGTTACTCAAGGATGTAAGTCACTGGCACGTGACCGGTGCATCGACTGTCAGCATATGCAAAGACGAGAGGGATTTTGTTGGAGCTCCAAAGAGCAGCATAAGCATTGCGGTACTGATGCCAAACTTTCTGCTTCCTTTAGTGATTGCCAGGTTATGATCTGCTCTTGGCTGTTCTGAGCAGCCTCTAAAGTCATTTAAGTATGCGGTTGAGCTCAAAGTGGACGTGGTTTTGGGTGTTTGTTCCTCAGAGTCTTCATGCGTGGTCAAGGGGCAGTTGCATGAAAAGTGGTGCATGCGACTGTCAATTTACTATTCACTCTTACTTCCCTGTTGGCTTTGCAGGGGCAGGAACGCGTATTCCTACGTTGTCTCGTCATGGCAAGGTGCAGGCCTCATGCCGGGTTTGAGTCTGAGGACAGGGTAAGCATGTGGTTCAACTTGACTCAATCGGTTCTTCTCATATACACAATTTGGGGGCAGCAAGTTTCCTGTCATGACTCCAATGCATTGTGGGTCCTTCTGCTGTGCAATTACACATGACTCTGTAGTTACAGCAACTCAACGCTGAGCCTGCACCTTGGACTGAGTTGAGTTGCAAAGTATGTGGGACAACTCCTCGCTCTAATCTGTTGCCTATCTGGTCTGAGCGCCGGCGCTCCTCATGCAGGAACCAGGCAGGACCACCTTGGAAAGCACACTGCCAGCGGCTCAGCCCACACCTGGTGCCTCGAGCCCCCCAGACCTTGGCGCTGCTCTTCGCTTCCCAAACATCAAACGTCTGGTCATGAGCACAGCCAAGCAGGGGAGTATCAGGGGGGAGCGCATCTTCCGCAGGAGCCTGGCAATTGTGCGTGGGCTGGCCAGGAAAGCGTGTGGATCAGCGGGCTACAGCTGGACAGAGGCCGCCCAGGATGGGGCCTCACAGGTGGCGAAGCGGGGCTTAGAGGGGCTCCTTGGCGCTGCAGAACCGTTTCTGCACGAGGGTTTCAACCGAGTGGTTGCGGAAACAGCTGAAGCGTACCTGGAGGGGCTGAAGCAGCAGAGCAGTGTGCGGGGTCGGCTGCAGGGCCGCAAGCGGAGAACCTCAGGAGCGAAGCGGGGTGTGGAGTGCCGCCACAGCAAGCAACCAAGGGCGGGGTTAGAAACACGACCAGGTGAGAATGGCAGCGTCCCAGCCGCTCGCTTTCTTCTGCAGTCGATTAGTCGGGGCAGGCAATGCTAGTACATTGGGGTCGTACTGTGTCGCAGCGCCTGCGTGGAGCGAGTCTCAGGGGGGTTTAGGAGCGTTGTACCAAGATTGGCAATTCTGAGTAATATGTACTTTTACAATCTGTGTACACGCCAGTACCGAACCTTTGTCTCCAGGATCTCAGAACAGGGCTTCTCGCGCACCAGAATGCATCCTTCATTTCTGGGATAGAACCTCCCCTTCCTTGGTACGCTGCCATCATCTGCAAGGTCTTTTATTGCTCAGCATAAGGTCTTGTCCAGCGGTAGCGTGAGTTGCCTGCTTGAATCCCACATCGCTCTACAAGATGCGATCCAACTCCGTTTTTTGGGGCCCTTTCCATGTCATCCAGACAGCCACAGTCTCAGCTGCCAGGCGTGCGGCGCCAGCGCAGAGAGGGGCCTCCGAGGTGGCAAGGAGGGCGGGAGCATCAAGTACTCCTGCCGGGCCCATGCAACCTCCAGAGGGTGCTTTCGAGTGGACCCAGATCGCGCTGGTGAGAGCACTCGATGCGCCTTCCTCTGAGTTGCGCTTGAGTTTTCTGCAATCTTTCAGCTGCTTCCCTGCTGCACAGCAATGGGTCTTTTGAGTGGAGAATTGAGACGGACGTGCTCTGTATGCTCCTGCAGTTTGGGCAGCAGACCAGGAGCTGCGCCGCCTGAGAGCCAAGGCTAGGAGACTCGAGCAGGAGCTGCGAGATCTCGGAGGGGCCGCGGAAGGTGAGCGTGCGCTGCTGGCTGGGCTAGTCTGATTTGTTCGCTCTTGTGCAAACCTGGGGGCAGTAAGCTCTCTTCATGCCTTTGGTGCGTGGTGGGTCTTTCGCCACCTGCGCTGATACTTGATTTGTTCTTGATGGCAGATGCATCCAGCGCGCCACCCTTTGCAGCATGGCAGGAGTCTGAAAAGACGATGGACTGGGTGTCCATGCCCAAGAGCCGTTCGCTGATAGGTAAGGCACTTGGGTTGCGACGCTGGGTCTGCAAGCACTTCTAGGGCAGCAGGCTGATTATGCAAGTGGTTGTGGAGCACTTGGCCCTTGACCTGCCGTGATAGTTCTACTGACTTGCTTGGGGGTTTCTCGCCGGTTCAGGATGAGTTTAGCTGCGTCAGACCTTCAGCACCTGAACGTGGTCTCTTGATGTGCAGCAACACTTCTCTTGAGGGGTGGGGTGGAAAGCAACCCTGGGCCCACTCCGCAGGAGGTGAGCGTAGACAAGGGGATCCCCGCAGTGCAGGGTGGGACTGGTCAGTGCTAGTTGTATCCAGGCAGTAAGAGCAACTCTGTGTCCTCTCTGAGTGTTTATGCTGCTAAAGAGCGGGCTACACATTGTTGTGCTGATCTCTGTTTTCGCCCCACTACAGGAAAAAGAGCTGGCTTTGAAGAAGAGCTGGCAGGAGGTGGACTCTGAGATTGACTCGAACCTGCTGGACCACCTGGCAAAGCAGCAGCTCACCTTGGAACGCTGGAGAGGGATGACCGATGGCGGTCGCTCTAAGCTTCTTGACCGACTTGAAAGCGAGTATCCAGGGCCAGGGAACTGGTTGTTGGGCTGGAATGCGATCTTCGATAAAGCTGCAGGTGAGCGCTCCCTCTATCAGACGAGTAGGCTAACCTTCGAGCAATCCGCTTGGTGATCAGGACTCGAGGTTTCCATCGATTCGACAATGAGTGATTCGAGCATTGCAGTACTGTTGTTCAGCATGTAGCGGCGGGGAAGCTTGGAGAAGATGGCATGGATAGGGACTTTGCTGATCAGAAGTTGTTGCCAGCTTCCTCGCCAGGTGGTAGAGTTGCTTCTTCCAACTAATGCAGAAAGAAAGCATCAAGGGACCAATCATCACCGTGTCGGAACAGAGGAGAAGTATTCTGCTGCATCGGCTCCGTAGAAAGCCAATTCAGACCGCTCATTTGCTGCGCAGAGAGCCGATACACGCGCTCCGCAGAGAGCCGGTTCACACCTGGACTTTGCGCTGCAGAGAGGCCATTCACACCTTTGATTTGCTGTGCAGAAAGCCAGTACACTCCTCTCAGTTCTTGTTTGTAGAGAGCCAATTCACACCCCCAATCTCGGGCGCTTTTTGGCTTTTCTCAGTTGCACATTTGGCAGGCACTTAGCTTGGTGTCATGCTTTCAGTCCGTTCTAAACTCATTGTGCATATGCATATGCGTTTTAAATTAGCATTGCAGCCTTTTCAAGTCCACCGCTGCTGAACAGTCTCTTTTGTTGTGCGCAGTGGCCGTGTCCTCCCCAATCACTCGTCAGGGTGCGGTGACCCCGCCTCTGGACAAACACATTGCTGATCTTCAACAAGAGTTCAGCCTACAAGCAATTGACTTCGAGAAGCTGCAGAGCGTCGCAGACAAGAGGGCGCAAGCGAAGATCACTCCTACTACTGGGGATGTCATCAACAACGTTGGCAGCTTCTTCCCCTGGGAGGAGAGAGACGATGTGGCACAGGAGGTTTATGAATCCCAGTTCCAGAAGTGGCAGAAAGCGCAAGAGTCCCAGAAGGAGTACCAGCAGGTTGGTCTTTTAGAGCAGTCGTGGCAGCTGCTGAGTTTTTTCAGTGGGGCAACTTTTGCGTCAGGATGGGGGCGTATGTTTTTACCTCATCGCGTGTGGTCAGGAGGAACAGCTTGTGGCGCATGGGTTGATTAGAAAGCGCTCAGTAGAAAGTGCAGGCTCTTGTAACTGCTAAGAACGCGAGTAGGATGAGAATAGCATACTGCCTGGTGTCTAAGTGCCAATTCTTGATGGCCCCAGATTCAGGTAGATTGGTCTAGCATGTCTCAAGGCCTAACAGTCAACTTTGACCTGGTGCTCTTCCGCGACGGTTGACAGGTTTGGGGCTTTTGCTCCCATGGATACTACATAAGCATAGCAGTCTTACTACCTCCACACAAGCATAGCAGTCCTCCTGCCTCCACATGGAGGGCTCCGTCAAGTAAATCTGCTCGAAACTTCTCATTCGTTTGCAGGAAGAGACAGGTAACCGCGACTATACCTACGAGGTGTTCATGGGGCAGAGGGGTGTAGGGAAAACGGCCTTCGCGCGGATGCTGCCATACCTGCTTGTCAAGATCGCGGAGGAGCGCGCAGCAAGAGAAGGCGCAGATAACATGGAGAGGATCTTTGCGAAGTCCATCATAGCCTCCTACAAGGGTCAGAAGAAGTTCAATTTCCACCTGGACTTCTCACAGCCTGCGAACCGGCCGAACGAGACGCTCAAGGATACATTGGGCGAGGCTGCCCTTCTTGCTGTGCTCCTCTTGAGGGGGGCGCTGATGGCTTGGTATCGAAGTAAGCTCACATTTCATAAGGCTTCCCAAGAGCGATTTGAACTGGCTTGTGCATGTTACTTGAGTGTATGGTTGACGCCCAACGTGAGGTAACCTGTTTGCCCATGGCTGGCTGTTGCAGTTCTTGAGGCAGACTTGTACAGTTGGTGGTGCTCCAAAAGACTTATCTAGCTGCACGAGCCGGACTCAGCACTCCTCTTCGAGTAAACAAGCTTGTTGTCCTGCCGATTTCCTCCTCAGCTTTGCAACGAGTGTCACTAAGACGCTTCTTGCCTTTGATTTGACAAAAATAACTTTCTGCAAGCAGATGTCCCCGATCTCGCCACTCTGTGCAACTGGGTATCCAAGAGACCGGGACTGGCGGAAAGGGTGACGGTCCAAGGTGTGCTAGGATGGTGCGCCAAGCACTTTCCCAACGAGGACGCGGCTTCCCTCCATTGCTTGATAGTGATGGACGAGGTGAGCTTGTTTGGATTGCTCTAGATGCTAAGAGCACGGTGTGTGTTGAGCAAACAGCTGGCAACCATAACTTTTGAGACAAGTCTGCAGATTTTCCATACTATCTACATCAGGAACGCAAGTGACATCCCCCAGCTTGCACGTCTTTAATTGATGCTCCAAGCTGTGTGTGTGAACCTAGTAGACGAAGCAGTTGATCTATCCTTTTCTGCTGGCTCCGAAGAGGGCACGAAGTTCTCAAGCAACTAGCAGTTTCGTGAGGCCTGCCAACAGCCTTCTTGCCTGCTGTACGAAAATATTCGGCACTATCGTTTGCATCTGACATATTGGCTTTATGCAGGTCCACGCTCTTGACGACAGCGAAAGGGCCGTCTTCAAGGGCCTCAACTCTCTGTTTACTACTATCAAGGGAACGGCCACAGGCATTCCCTTTGCCTGCTGGTGTCTCTGCACGACCACGTTCGATCCAGACCTCGAGCCTGTGCCCTTGGTCAGAAAGAAGCGAAAGAGGAGCGACCCATCTGTCCACTCTCCGGAGAAGAAACGATCGAAGGTAAAAGCACATCTTTCTGTATAGAGCTTTCCAGGAGCACCACCATTTGAAGTGAGAATTAGAGCTTGCCTTGCGATGTTTGCGGAGACATCTTGATGCTACTTTCGCTTTGCCAACCAACACCACGTCCTCGCTGTTCTCAACTTGGTGTCTTACATTCGCTGATGCTGTTCAACCTGTCGAGCTGCAATCTCGGGGCCAATTCTCCTGATTACAGTTTTCTTAGCGTGCTTAAGCTGAACCGAAAACCGTACATATTGTTGTCAGTGACTTACTGCTATTGTGGACGATGGTGATTCAATCATTCGTTACGCTGTGTCATTGTGTTTGTTGGGTCTCAAACTGACGGACTCGCATTGAAGGAACTTTCGTAATGGGATGCGCAATCCTTCCCTTCTGCAGGGCGCCCAAAGTGGCTCGATGGACTCAAGAAGCTACGAGCTTGTCCCGGCCGGTAACAACTTGATCTACCATTCGGCCACCCTGAGCGGCGTCCACCTTGGGACTATCCACACCATCCGACCGTTCACGCCAGAAGCCACCCAGCGGATCGTTGTCCAAAGCTTTCGCAGAATGGGAGTCTTGGCTGAGGACGGTGCTCTGCCTCCCTTCCTGGAGATCTTCTTCGCTGGGTCGGGGCTGGGTCGGGACGTTGCCGCAGGGATGGCCGCCCTGGCCATGTCAAAAGAGAACGAGAAGGTCGGGACGGCGCAGTCCTCACTGCACACTCTGCACGTCGAGATGCTAAAGGCTTTTGTGAATGAGCAGCTAACGGCCCCGAGGTGGGTCTGATTGGTAACTCTTATTTTGCATAAACACAGATGCTTCTCAGACAGGATTTCAAAGTTGTACATTGCTTCCATTCAAGAGCAGCCACAATCAAACATGGCGGCTTTGGCTTCAGCGTACGCAAGGCTTACCTTAAGTCTGCTCCTTTCTCAGACGCTCTGAAGTGTGGTTGTAAATATTTAACCTGGCCACAGCACCCGGAACAGTCACTATGGGATTGGTCAGCTTAGCATCAGCTTTTGAATATTCAATGTGAAGTCTGGTTCTTATGTTCGAAGATCTGCTTCTTCGTGTTGCGGGTGTGTATGAGAGGACGATTGAAAGCACTTGCAAGCAGGGTCTGAATCCGTTATTTGGTGCCACAGCTTGCAGGCTGCAGAGGACTACTGGACACTGCTCATAGTTCACCGCAACGGGACTTTGACAGCACAGTGGCTGGACGAGCTGGAGGAGAAGGACCGCTTAGAGTACGTGCAGGCCATCATAACGAAGAAGCTAGCCGGCCGCACCGTTGGTTTCAACGACTACGTTATTAAGGGCACCAACTTTTCGTATGGCTGGTTCTTCATGATGGGGCTCTACTCACTTCTTGGTGAGCTTCTGGTCGTTTGCAAGTGCTCATCTCGGTTGTTGCACTCCAATTTCCTTTGAGAACTCTGGCAACCTTTGCAATTGAGAATCACCACTGTACCTTGATTTCATCTCATTTCTGGGAAGCACAAATTACACATGTACGCACTGATAGACTTATCTCTGACGAGCTTCCTTTCTAATTCGAGGCTAGTCTGTAACTTGCCTTGATAACGACCCCCTTTCAACCTGGAGGCTAGTCTATGACCAGCTTGGCTAACGGGTCTTCGTTTAACTCCGAGGCTAGTTTCTCACCTGCTCGATAACGAGTCTTTTTTTAACCTGGCAGCTAGTCTGTAACCTGCCTCGAGAACGAGTCTTTCTTTGTCCCGGAGGCTAATCCGTAACCTGCCTTGATAAGGGAGTCCTTCAACCTGGAGGCTGGTCAACAACCTGCCCCGATAACGACTTTTCGTTTTACGCCGAGGTTAGTTTAGCAGTGCCTTGATAATGAGTCTTTCCCAAGCCCGAAAGCCCGAGGCTAGTCTTTAAGGTGGCTTGGTAACGCGTCTTCTTCTCACGCTAATGTGTAATCTGGGTCGCTAACAAGTTTTCTTTTAATCCCGAGGTTAGTCTAATCTGCCCTGATGGCTAATCTTCCTTTAACCCCGAGGCTAGTCTCCTTGATAACGAGTCTTCTTTTTACCCCGAGGGTAGTACATAACCTGCCTTTATTTTCTAACGAGGTTTGGTTTTATGTCTGTAATCTCACTACCCCTCGTTCTCGTTTCCATTTCAGCAACGGGCCCCCCTGTCGACCTCGCAAAGGCCCGCTTGAAGCTGGAGGTGCCTCCCAAGCACCTCGAGATCTTTGCGGCGTACCGCAAAGATAGCCACAGTATGCTGAGTCTCCAACACCTCTACAGGGAGACGTTCCGTTGCCGAGAGAACCCTGACGACAAAGAGTGGGGCGACTTGAACGCCATCAAGTCGAAGTCTTCTGGCCTCTACCATTCGGGGTACAAAGTTGTTTGTGCAGGTGAAGTACTTGGAAGCGAGAGACGGGACGGGGTATTCAACACGAGGATCAGAGTACCCAAAGGTAAATTCTGAGCCGCTATGCTTTTGAGAAGGGGCTGCCTGGGTGGTTTCCTGCTACTTGGCACCGTAAAGCGCCTCCTTTTCAAGATGATAGTTTCAAACATGAGCACTTTCGAGCTTCTTGCTTCTCGCATCTCGCTTCTCAGAGAAAGGTAGCATTGTCCTCTTCCACTGGTTACGAATGTTTCTGTCCTTAGTCTTCAAGATCTTCTCCTGCTCTGTAGTTTTCTCTCTTGTTGTTGTCTATCACTGCATGTTGCTGTAAGATTCTGCTGGCCCGATCTGAGAACTTGATCCTGACAGGTTCTTGCTTTGCCGCAGACGGCTACTGGCACAATAAGCATCTCGGGAGGGAGTTGACCGACGAGGAGTACCAGGGGATGCTAAAAGGCGACCTTCCCCATGGTTGGCATCTTATGGCGAAGCGTATGGCGCACAGCACCGACTGGCTCGCGGTCTTTGAGCTGGATGACGAGCCGGGGCAATACTTTGGCTTCCAAGGCCAAACCAAGGAACACATCCTGAAGCAAAGGGAGAAGAAGACAGGTGCGTTTCAAGCTCAGTACTTCCAGTCTAAACCGAGCACGTTCTGCTCGAGTGTGCCTGCTTCCTTAGACTTATTTGAGAGTAACGCTCTCCTTCGCAAACACACACTGAGCAGTGAAGTAGGTCGTCTGCCTCTGCTTTCCAAGGCACGGAATGCTTCGTATCTTTGTATCAGAGGGGAGGGACTGGTTAACCATGAGGTTTAGTTTTGGAACGTCGTTCCATACTCCATGTTTCTCCACGTCTTAAACCCGTTCAAGCTGATCTCGTCGAGGTCCTTGGCTAACGATTGAAAGGGGTGTGTGGATCTGATCTTCCGCAAAAGGTCGCTTTGAAGACGTCAAAGGGGGGGGGAACGTTGTTCATTGGAATCGATGCACTTTTGTGTATGAGACGGCTTCTTGAAAGCGAGCTTTGTGCATGGTTGCAGGAGCCGAGTTGTTGGAGTTGGTCACGAAGCGGCCCGTGGAGAAGGGCGTGGTAAAACTGTCAGAGTGGGACAAGAGATGGAAGGGGCCAGAAGACAGATTTGTCTTCGTCTTCTCCACGGACCATGAGCACGACGGGACGTCCGAGATGCCCAACCACGCCAACATTTTCATTGTCGATGCCTCACGTCACAAGCAGTTCTATGGCGATGGCCCCAGCCGAAGGAGGAACCTCGTACATACAATAATGGAGGCGGAGTATGTCCTGTCAGAGCGCGCCAAGGTACGTTTTTGTCCTAAGTGACCTCGTACATCTGGTTACAAGGCAACTTGTCGTAGTGTTCTCATAATCATCAGGACCTTCTGCCCAAAGGACAAGAGGGCAACTCGGAGTTGTCATGCACTTTATGCCTTCAAGGAGACTATCTTGGGCGTTGTTCCAGTCTCAAATCTCGGTTTACGAAACCTGTTTTCTCGTCCTTCGTCTCCCTGCGCTGTGAAGACCGCTACCTCCGAGGCATGTTGTCAAAGAAAGGGATTACCTCGTTAGGCGTCTTTCTTGATCTGCAGAGGGAGGAGGAGCGGAAGCGCTCGAAAGCAGAGGAGGAGCAAGGCGAGAAGGCAAAGAAAGTTGCGCGGAAGGATGAGGAAGGAGAAGATGGCAAGAAAAGGAAAATGGCGTTGGCGCCAAAAAGAAAGCAGGAGAGCGCAGCAGAGGGAGAGGATAGCACAAGGAAGCGAGGTAAAGCGGCACAAGATCAAGTAAGGACAAAGACAGCGGCAGACGTGTTGCCTCCTCGAAGAACCAGCAGGAGGCTCGCTAATGGAAAGACCGAAGAGGAGGGTGGGGCTGGACTGGTCGAAGAGGAGGGGGATGTGAATGTTACAAGTTGGGATATGGAGCTGGGTCAACAAAATGAAGACTGGCTTCAAAGAAAGAAGCCGAATGTGGCGACCGCGGGCAGGGAAACGGACCCAGCCAAGGAGGTGAGCCAGGGAGAAAGCCACGGAGATAGTCAAGGAGATGGGCAAGGAGATGGTCAAGGAGAGAAGGAGAGCGAGAGACCAAGGAGACCGCTAAGGAGACGAGCCAAAGAGACAAGTGGGCGCCAGACGTCCAGCGAGGGAGGGTACCAAACCATACCCGATGCAAACGCAGGGGGTAAGGCTGGAATGAAAACGACAGAGGGTGAGACTACAGGCAGGGAGATGGAAGGGCGCCAAACGTCTCGCCAGCGGGGGTCAGAAAAGAAACACTCAGCGAAAGCGAAGGGTGAGGTCGGATACAAGAGGAAGGCAGAATTTGATACCACAAGCGGGGCAAGAGAGCCAGTCTTCCCTCTTCATCTGGAAAGTATTGTAGAGGACGACATAGGGGAGATGGAGCCTGTCTCGGGATTTCATTAGATTTCGCAAGGCTGCCGTTTCTTGTCAAGCAATTACACGGGGAGGGCTTGTGAAGCTGGAGATGAGGCAGATGACATTTGGGGGCTCGCGCACGCACATTGCAGTATGGCTCATCTACCTGCATTGGCTTGTCTTCCAGCAGCGGGAGTCTTGGAGATTTCTCCGACTCTCATCTCGCACCTTCCTTAATGACATGACGTCAAAACGAAAACCAACGGGCTTTAAATGCAGCTGACTTTGCTCATTGATTAGTTTGCCACAACTGTGGCCTACAATCGAGTGCTCCGCCAAGAGATTGCCAGATGCTAGAATAGAGACCATTACAAGCTCATGCTCTATGCATTATGCATTATGCTCGACTTCTCAGTGCATGATGTTGCTTTTGTCATCTCCCAAGCTCACAAGGAAAACACAACATTGCGGACTTACAATTGAGGCTGCCCTCCACATTTGTCCACCAATGGTTCAGTTGCTATTAGTTCGCATGTCCGGGCGCCATACTTTCCTAGGTGATGTAAAGTTGTAACTCGAGAAGTGCTCTTCCTCCTCGAGTCTCAAACGAAAGGGACTGTTTTGAGATCTACAATTAACGAGTGAATTGGGGAATCTACATGCATGGCTCTGGCGTTGTCAACGGAGTGAGCCTTGGCGGACCCGCAATGTTGGAGGCACGTACAGCTGGTTATATGCTATACTATGTCTACTATATCCATACGCTACATAACCGCGACCACGAGCCCCACGTGGCTCGGCGCCAGCCGGATATGGCATGGCAATCGTCTCCTTGCTTTGAGCAGTTGTCGCTCCATTGTCTCGCCTCCTCGCACGCCCTTACCGAGTCAGGGCATGCCTCCTCCCTTCCCTGAATTTGCAACGCTTGCACCAAGCTATGTTCAAAGCACCGGTGCGTGTACAATGATTTATATATAATTCATACGAAAGCTCTTCTTGGACAGGTTCGGAACGGCCCCTTTCTCCTTCCTCGTGCACGAGCTCACGAGAGCCTTGAAGGAAGGGGACAACGAGAGCGTCACAAAGGAGTACGTCGCAACCAAGGGTGACATGTCCTGCCGAGTACACTTCGCGCTAATGCTTTTGGCAGCTTTGTTCGGCTGCCCGCGTGAGGAAGTGCAGAGGGCCAAGGAGGACGGGTATGCAGTCGAGGAGGATGCATTGCAGGCGGTGCACGATGCGATGCTCGGGCCAACGCCTGAACGGCTCGCCTTCGTTCGCGACTTCTACGGGTTTGCCCAGACCGGTGAGAAGGAGACGGCGACAACCAAGCGCAACGCCGTCAAGAAGGTTCTCTACATAGGCCTTGGGCTCGGCCATATTGCTTCAAAGAAGTCCAACGGGAAGTTCGTAGCCGGCCGGCCACACATCTTCAAACCGCTGCTTTGGCAAGAAGTGCGGGAGACGTACGGTCGGTTTGCTGATTACAAGGCGACACTGCCGGTACAAGGTTGTGCTCAAGATACGACTCCGACAGTAGCTAGATGGTGATTGAAATGACCGGACTTGTGCTTCAGAAGCGCTTCGAATCGGTGATAAAGTTTTGGAACTTGATGGTGATAAGGTGATAGGATCGGCTGCTTGCGAGTCAAAACGTGCGCCATTGAAAGCAATTAGGCTTATATTGTGAGGCAGTTTTTGACTCCTTGGCGCTGTCAGCTACAGCGTTTTCGGGATAAACGAATGGAATGGCCGTCTTTGCCTGCGAGTCAAAACATGTGCCATTGTCACTAGGTATGCTTATATTGTGAGGCAGTTTTTGACTCCTTGGCGCTTTCAGTTACAACGTTCTTGAAGGATCTTGGGTGGGATGGCCGTCCCTACTTGCAAGTCAAAACATGTGCCATTGAAAGCAATTATGCTTATATTGTGAGGCAGTTTTTGACTCCTTGGCGCTTTCAGCTACAGCGTTTCTAAAATAACGAATGGAATGGCTGTACCTCCAGGATAATGGGTGGAATGGGCCGTACCTGCCTGCGAGTCAAAAACGTGTGCCATTGACAGCGACTAGGCTTATACTCTGAGGCAGTTTTTGACTGGTTGGCGCTGTCACTTACAACGTTTTCTAGGAATAATGGGTGGAATGGGCCGCCTCTGCTTGTGAGTCAAAACGTGTGCCATTGGAATCGATTAGGCTTATATTGTGAGGCGGTTTTTGACTGGTTGGCGCTGTGAGCTACAACGTTCTTGAAGGATCTTGGGTGGAATGGCCGTCCCTGCTTGGCGATGTCAACTACAGCGTTTTCATGATAACGGATGGAATGGCCGTACCCGCTCGGGAGTCAAAAGCTTTGCCAGTATCACATGGTATGCTTATATTTCGAGGCAAGTTTTGACTGGTTGGCGCTGTCACTGACAACGTTTTCCAGGAACAATGGGTGGAATGGGCCGTACCTGCATGCGAGTCAAAAACGTGTGCCATTGAAAGCAATTAGGCTTATTTTGTGAGGCAGTTTTTGACTCCTTGGCGCTGTCAGCTATAGCGTTTTCAGGAGAACGAATGGAATGGCCGTACCTGCTCGGGAGTCAAAAGCTTTGCCATTGTCACATGGTATGCTTATATTTCGAGGGACTTTTTGACTCCTTGGCGCTGTCAGTTACAACGTTTTTGAAGGATCTTGGGTGGAATGGCCATATTTGCCTTCGAGTCAAAAACTGTGCCATTGAAAGCGATTATGCTTATATTGTGGGGCATTTTTTGACTGCTTAGCGCTGTCAGCTACAACGTTTTTGAGGATCTTGGGTGCAATGGCCGTCCCCTGCTTGCGAGTCAAAAACGTGTGCCATTTAAACCGGCTATGCTTATACTGTGAGGCAAGTTTTGACTCCTTCGCGCTGTCACTTACAACTTTTTCGAGGATAATGGATGGAATCGGGCCGTTCCTGCCTGCGAGTCAAAACGTACATGCCATTGAGACGCGTAATGCTTATAATAGAAGGCGACTTTTGACTTTATATCTTGGGGGCTTATGAGAAGGCCGTGACATGTGTATCTCTAAGCTTAGTGCTGTTTATATCTTTCAACTATCACTGCTTCACAGGTAATCGGCCTGTTCGTTTTTGATCACACCTCTGTGCATCGTTTCTGATCAACACCTGTGCATCGAAGTAGTACTTTGACCTTTGTACCGTGTCTAATGCCACCCCTCTTCTCTAAAGAACTTGATGATACTAGTGTAGTAGCTACGCTATTCGGCTCCATATAAGATGACATCCAGCTTTTGTTGTGCTTCCGAATGCCCTTGCCACACAGCCCTAACATACCATGCCATGGATTGCAGATGGTCTGATTCCGCAAGACCCTAACCCATGCAATACTGCGCTTCAGCAAGTCTCGCGTCCGCAGCCTTTCAAATCCAATATTCGGCTTGTACAAAATCGAGATCCATGCCGCCGATACCGACGCAATGGGAGGTGCCAAACATGAGTTGTGCCAACGTATCTCCTTGCTCTGCGGCTTGCTTGAAGCAGGGGGCAGCGTGCACGTAATCCTTTTCTACCCCTAGTCCGTTCGCGTACATTATGCCCATATTCGAGTTTGCCTCTATATGCCCATGATCGGCAGCTTTCAGGAACCACTTAGCCGCTTGTGAAAAATCTTGATCGACACCTAGGCCTTTGTTAAAGATCATACCCAGATGGAACTGCGCGTCCACCTCTCCATTCTCTGCAGCCAGTTGAAGCCACAATCTGGCTTCCGTAAAGTCCTGCTCCACGTTGTCGCCGACGAGATAAGTAAGACCTAAATCCAGTTGCGCACATGAATCCCCCTGCTCTGCGGTGAACTTTAGGGCCTGCACCTCGTTGTTTTCCGCACTCATTGCTGAATCGAATGCCAGGATGGGATTTCTTCAAGTCCCTAAGCCGTCCAAACAAGTGATTCAAGTGCAGAGGGACATAAGATTTTGTCAAGCGGGAACTAGGCCTTTCGCTACCTCAAAGGAGCGACGGCAAACCTAGCAGACAAAACGGGCTACTTGATCGTAAGCGGCTTAGGAGAATAGAAAATGTACATCGTTTTCAGTATCGAATATAGGCACTGTGGCCAGGTCCGACATGAGTTACAAGATGGAAGACCCCAGCGCAAGGTCCGGAGCGCCGTCCCCCGTGCTTGAAGCAGCCGTACAACATTGGGGAAGGCGAGAGGGCCGCTTCGTTTGTCTCGAGCGCCATGCAATTCCACCTGAAGGCTTATGCGACAAGAGTTTTGCCTCCAAGCAAGCCCTAGAGGCCCACCGTTCGAGGACTGGTTGCGAGCCGGCGAAGCTACCCAGCGAACGTCGTATCTCTCGACTGAATGGTTTGAGTTCCGAGGCCGCACGTCACATAAAGCATCAAGGCAATCACGCAGCCGTTTCAAGGTACAGGACGACGATCGGAGGAGCACGTGCCGTCTTTCGAGCACGCCATATTGCAAAGTACCGTGCACTAGCCGTAACAGCTGTGCCCGGGCCCCCCGCGCCGGGGCCACCAGAGTACATGCGGCCGCCAATCTCATGGTTACTTGCGGATACTCAATTCCCCGCCGTCGAGGTGAAAGCGAGGTTCGAATGCGGGCAAATCCGACTCAGCCATCAAACGTGGTCCCTCAGGTTTCATCCAGACAAGGTGGAGGGGAGGCAGCCCGATTCTCAACCACGGTATCAATGATTCGTCATCTAACTTTTCAAGTGGTTCAAAGTTCGAAAGGTGTACATTTACAATTACTCCAGGCCGCAAAGTGTACATCGATCAATATTCAAATCAACTCGTGCATAATTAGTGTACATCAATGTTCAATCTCAATCTAGCCTTTCAAAGTTTGCTTCTTTTGCAGGGGAAAATCACAGGCCATCTGGAGGTTTTCAAACGGCACCATGGCTGCTACAGAGAGGCAACCATCGGTCACTATGCAACAGAGCTGTTCGGGCCCCTCAATGATGAACGTTTCAAGCCTGGCCTAGTCGCTCAAAAGGCTGGAGGCATGCTCTGGAAGGCTTGGCTCAACGTGGAGATAGCCATTGTTAGTGATTACGCAGTTTACTTGCTGAGAGTTGCGGGATTATGAGAACGAGCTCAAGGGAAGAAGGAAGGCGCTTGATGAAGCTCGCGACATATGGATTGACGACCAGCTGGAGAAAAGGTTTCGAAGGTCAAAGGCTTTCAAGCGATGTCACGTAGGAGCCGACTAGGACGATGCTCATTTTAATCCCTCTATTACGGTCAAGCCGTTTAAGTCGTCTTGGAATTTGTTGTATTGATATTATTAGCGGCAAGACATGAACGTGATCCTTGGCTTTCAACCGAGAGAGCGATCTGCTATCCTGGAGATGGATAGACACGTGTTGCATTCGGCAAAGTCTATTATCGTTTGGTGCTATCAAGAGCAGGGTCTGTTGAGCACCACTCTCGATATAGGAGTTTTGGCGGGCTTAAGGGCTCTGCTCAAGCCGTTTTCTCTTAAGCACATCACTCGAATGGTTGTCAGGTCTCTGGTCGCTGAGGGCTTTCATGCGTACTGGGACAAAAGCAACGTGAATCCGTACATTGTTCACGTTGGCTGGGGAGCCGCTTTAAAGCGTGCTGACAGGGCGAGAAGAGATGCCCGACGGCTGCGGCAGTTACATATCAGAAAACATAAGAAAAGAAGCGAGGCGTCCATGGATGATTTCGCATACGAATTAGACTGCAGGTCACCTGCTGACGTCGGGTATGATTGGGGGGAGGAAAATGCCCCAATTCTTGAATTAGAGGCGCTCGTGAATCCTGGAAAACGACGTTATTCAAGCGACGATGCATGATTGCCCCTTTTAGATATTATGAATAGCAAAGACGCCCATTTCACGAAAAATGTACACCCATGTTCATGTTATCTGGCTCATAATCACTTTTGTAACAAAAGTTCCTATGAAAAGGGCCTGTAAGACCGCTCTTTTGTCAGATATTTTACAAAAGCTCCTACACGATAAAGCTTTTGCAAAAAATACAAACACCGATATTCACATATCCACAAAAGAGAGACACGTTTGCTGGTCAGATTTTTTATCTAGATAACCTAGATAAGACAAGTATGCAGGCTCCTCAGGCTGAGACACGCACCATAAGCGCACCAAGAATGGAAAAGCTTCTTCAAGGGGTTTTCGACGATGGCAGCCGAAAACCGGTAACCGTGAATCAATATTGCGGTCACATTATGCGTCTATATAGGGGTCTAAACGGTTCAAACGCTGATATGTCGAGTTTCGAGTGGCTCAAGAATACGAACCGGATAATCGGCTTTTTGGCCAGCACATATGAGGACAAGCCGAGCATGCAGGCCACATGCATAACCCCCATTCTCGTCATAGTCAAAAAGGAACTGAAATCCGACCAAGACTCTGAACTCTATCAAACCTACTTCAAACGGTACCAAACGGTTCGCGAAGTGATGGAAAAAGCCAGACCCCCGCCGCAGGTTCTCTCGGCATCGGAGTATAGAAACTGGCGATCGCTCGAACAGATCAACGAGAGGC